CACGCATATAAACCATACGTCTCCGATTCCGGAGTCCCTGGCAGGAAGTGGTTAATAGGCAATCAAAGCAAGTTAATTTTGTTTGGACGTCTCATCCAAAACAAATTCCATTCACTTCACTATCTGATAATTACACTTCATGTTAAATATACAACAAGCAGCAGATTCCCAAACTCCTCCTACCTGACTCCTGTGCTCGATGGAGTTGGTCTGTCGTCCAGTTTTCAGCTCAAGGGGGACAGTCATCTGAGTCTTCCTGCCTTGCAGATTCCGTTGATGAATCTTGACACAAAATAATCAGCAATTACTTGGGTACTGACAAGAATTCATTCAGTGAGAGGACATCAATGTGAGAATAAATCGTCTGAGTCTCAAAGCTTTCCTCTCTTGTATGAAATCCAACATTTTAATCAAGTGCCAAGTCACAAAGAAATAAAGAAGGTAACAAAATGTACAAAGAGTGTTAAAAAAAGAGATTGCAACACGTAAAAAGGATTTGTAATTACATAATCAAAAGTGAATTTGGCGATGTTTGGCTGACATAAAAGTTTTGATTTGTTATTTTGGCAATAGTCAACCACGCAACCGTCAAATGTCAAAATGAAGCTCCTCCATGTTTCATCTCTGGAAAAGATTTCTAGGATTCAGTCTGAATCTTGGAAGTAACTTACCTTGACTTCTACTGTCAAATCCACCTTGCCTTTTGTCCCCCACCTGGGAGACCAGACTGTTTCTTCAATGTCCTTCACCCCAGAAATACAGACATTATATTTCTCACTGTGGTTCTGTCCAGGCCTACGAGATTGGGGAATAATGAACATTGTTTGACATTACAAAAATGTGAAATTAAAAAAAAATCAGTGGAAGAGCAGCGCAGTAAAGTAAAACATTGCCTTGGAAATCAAAACGCTGAACGAAAGGGAGAAGGAAATATATTAAAAACAATTAAAATGAACAGAATTCAACAGAAATAGTGGCAGCCAATGCATAATGATGCAAACAGAAGGAAACGGTGATGATATATACATCGATGTAAAGTTGAAAGCTTGTGCAAACAACTGACATATCCCAGACACAAAGTCACAGTAATGCCATTGACAACATGCTGAATCTGTTTGCAGGAAAACACCACCAGTTAAGTTTCCACAGTCTATAGGAGGTGATAGAAAATGTTGTTTATAATGGATGAATTTGTAACTTAAGTCTCACAGATTTGAAAATTAAGCAAAAAAAGAAAGATGCTGCATACAGCAGACTCTAACGGTTGTAATACCTTAAGGTCTCCTATTCATGACTTCAACCAGATCGGGAAAAAAATGTGCACTACTCAAAAAAGTTAAGGACCACTTTTTAGTTTGTGTATACTTTTTATGTGAGATATTTTACTGCTGAAAATGTGCATTTGATGTTTTGAAACATTTTTTAATCTTTTATTTTAATGAGAACACCATGTTGACAAACAAAAAAAAAAGAAAAAAAAAAGTAGACCCCACTCATTGCTTGGAAACAAATTACAAATTAAGGAAAAAGTGGTGCTTAACTTTTTTGGGGTAGTATATCAATGGTGTTGTGGGGTTCAATGGCGTGAGTAAAGTTCAATCTTACTAACTCACATTTTGACATCTACTGTGGCACTCTGCTTTGGATTTGGTTGCAGATATCTGTCTGCCCATTGCTTCATAGGTCCAACATATTCTTGAGCGTCATCAAGAACATCTTGCTCAGTCATACCAACAGCATACCTAGCTCCGAAGAAATTAGAAAGAGACCAAAGCGTAATGCTAGGTTGAAATTGAAGTGCCACAAATATTGGGTGTAACTTATTCTTTACTTCTTACATCAGCCTCTGCAAAATGCATGGTTTTGCTGCACACTAATCACTTATATCTAGTTTATTCTAAATATCGGGCAAATTGATAACACTGTGAGATATATTCTCTGATACAAGACAATGAAGGTTAGAACAGGGCTTATCTGGCGTAACAAAAACGGAAAAAAATTCACAACTTAAATCGGACTAATTAAAAAGCAACATTTTCAGTCCGACCACCAGGTGTCTTTTTTCGACTACTCACATGTCTTTGAGGTAGGGCAACTGGTGCGAGACTCTGTCAACAATCTTCAGAAGACTTTCTGCAGCAAAATTCTTCCCTTCTATCGCCTGAAATCGTAATCAAAAAAATAAAAATCACTGAATGCTTTAATGGCCAAATGTCAAGAACAGATTGCGGATGACTCTTCCCTGTGAGTCTAGCGTGTGGTACATTTAAAAAGTTACCCCGCCAAAATACATCTTTAGAAATCGTTTGTGGAAATTGCTTTGTGAAAATTTGAAATTAAGAAGTCATGAAGCATGGTTTTATAACTTTGTATCTCACATTTTTTCTTTTATGTATTTCTGTTAAATTAACAAACGAAAGAACCTTTTCAATAGGTTTGAAAGTCTTCTATTTTTATTTGCAAAGATTCATATTTCACTTCCCAAAACTGCATTGAGATCTAGGAATGACAGGATAAGTTGGTAATATTCTTTCTATTTGCTTACAGAGACATGTTATGCATTATAGTTTGAACAAAGTCAAGAAATAAGTTACCTTATCGAAAACATCATGGAGTATGGTACCTAGGAGCATGGGTTTACTTGCTTTGTCCATTCCCTAAAAAGAAAGGTTGGTGTTCATTTATTGGTGAAGAGAAATGACAGCTTCCATTGATGTCGCTAAAATGAAATGGACTAGAACTCAAGCCAAGAATTAATTGGGCAATTGTCAATGTCAAATTGTAATCAATGAGTGATGATTAAGTCACAGCTTAAAAAGTGGAGCTTTAAAAAAGGACCAAATTTGTAAAATGCCATTTAAATTTGTTTAATTCAGATCACCACATAGAGCGATTCCTGTCCAACATGAAGCTAAAACATTTTGTTCTCAAAATGAAATTTGATTCTATTCATGTCCATTTTAGATAGAGATATACTCACTTTAAACTTTTCACTCAGCACTGACCTGGGACAAAAATACCAAAAATACCACTCATTCGGATGAGTACTAACGGAAAAAATGCAAATGAAATTACAATATGAAGATTCCAATGAAGGCTTCGTAGACTGTTCACACAAAAACTTACAAACTAATCCGCGACAACATCACTGAGATGACACCACAGTGTTACAAGTCTCACGCTTTCTCAAACTTGAGGTGGAAATTGATGTTGGCTTTTTCAAAACACAAATGTGCACAAGGTGGTGCCACGACAATAATGGATTCTGATTGTTGTCACTGGGTTAGTCAATAGTTGTATGCTTTGAATGAATGCTGATGTGTTGAATATCACTTCCTATATTATGAAATAGGGAAAATCAGAAATAAGTTGAATATCAGCGTCAAATTTTGGTGTCTTCAAAGAGCTTTGCATTTGCTGATTTTTCTCTCATACGCCATGGATACTCTCACATGGCCTTTGCGGATGGGCAAGAGCACCCTCAATAGTTCATACACAGATCCAATGGTGAAATGGCATTATGGGAAACTGACCTCCTCATGCAGTGGATACTGCGTGAGATGTTGGTGCCAGTCAGCAGTCGGTCAGGGTGAACCACCAGGAAGTGATTCTGCTGGTCTATGGTGCACATCCCGCTGGAGTCAAACCGTCCGTGGACGGCCACCATGTCGCCTTCCTCCACCAGAGTATTCAGCCTTGAGAGAGGAGTTGCAAAGTTTGGAAAACTGAGTTACTTGCACGATGCAAAGAAAATGCAAACTGATACTTGGAAAACAAGTAACTGAGCTAGTAGTGTATTGTTTACAAAGGATTTAGATTGGAGAAAAATGAACTATCCACGAAATAATTGCCAGAGGGTTTGGAGGGCCCCACAGAAGCATAGGGTCTAGGATATGTACATTTGTTTGCCTAGGGGCATCCCTTAAAATACCCATTTCTTGTGTTCTATGTCAACTTCACATATAAAAAGCACTGCAATGGAAAACCAGGATTTTCCCAATTTTGAAAGTGATTCTTTGAAAAATCCTGACAAAAAAATATTAAAAATCAAGAAAACTCCTGACAAATTTCACACTACCAGCCTTCAATCTAATCAGAAACTAATGTAATGGAAGCATGAATGACGAATTTTGCATGATTTGCTGTTTTGGCCCCACCTCTGTTGTACTGAACCTAAGCAACATTTCTAAAATTGCCAAGGAAGTAATATGAACATGTGACAGATACTTCAAAATTTTTGAAAAAGGCAAGCTTTTCCTTGCTTAGTACTGTGAGCTTTGTAAACTCAGAAATATAACTCAAATGTTACAACTAGAAAAACAATTTGACTTAAATGCGGAAGTAACAGTGAAATTCACACTTACCAAGTTCCCTTTAGGCAGCAAACTTTGTTCTTGTGCTCTGTTAGACAAAGCAACTGTAACTTCTTCTCACTGCAACCAAATTTTGAGCATTTTCCATTTTAGGATTAAAACACTGACATCCCTCCGTCTCAGTCTTTTAACTTTTTGCTAAATGTGACAACCACCGAACACATTTTTCGCCTGTGGTAATGTTTACTCTGTGAATGTTTCAAGATATCTCTTTGGGCAAGTTTGAAATGGTTATGTCTTCAAGTTGTCTTTACCTGCCGCCATCTTGGATGCCTGTAACCCTGTAACGGTTCAAGTCGGCCGGAAGAGGGGCCGTATTCTTCTGGGAAGTGCTTTTAAACGGTGATAGATGACTGAATTCTCTAGTGACCTGAGACTCAATGCTATCCAGTTTCTTCTCCTGTGTAACCAAAGCAACAAACGTCAATACATATTAAGAAAAAAAATCAAATTCATATATGGATTGATACCTCTAAAAAAAAAAATGGATTGACGCTTCTTTAAAAAATTAAAATCTGCAATATAAAATGTGCTATACACCTTAACCATTGCTTACTATCTTAAAGCTGATTGGTCGATATTTCACATTTGTAGTGTTAACAGAGTGATATTTTCTCCAAATCACACTATACGTCTTGTCATGCTTTCTTACTAATCTTCTGCATGTGTTTCTCTGCTGCACACGATAATGCTCATATCCAAAATGTCCAAAAACAGTGAGCACCTTGACTCTTGTGTGTGCATGTTGTGAGAATTTGTGTTTTTAAGTAAATGCATCTTAATTCAACGCCTCATTCCCAGTTCATAACAGCAAAAACAAAATGTCTGCATACTATACAGTGGAAGGCATGGCCACACATTTTTCTGCGCACAAGTTTCCAGATGGATTTCAACTGACCATACCTTGGCATTCACACCAGTCTCCATGTACTCCATATCCATGGCCGCAAGAAATGAGTCGTTGAGTTGGTCTTCCCATAATGCACCAGTGCCCTGACTTGACAGGACATTCTCCTGTGATGACAACCAACCACTGTCCTGAACCACTGCAGGTGGATGCTGGTCCTTGTCTGAAATTTCACTCAAGTAAGGCTGAGCATTTGTTTCCCTTTGTGCGGGGGGCTCTGTAATTCCACCAACTCTCGAATCCTGCAATTTTTCTTGAACTCTCATGACACTTGGTGAGTTTCTCTCTTTCAAGATGGGGGATCCGGTCCCTGTGGGGTCAGACATGTTGGTTTTGTCGACCAGATTTGTTGGGCTAGTATCAGAGCTAGGGGAGGGTCCAGCTTTGGAAACCTCACTATCCCCGGATAAAAAGTTTTCTTTTTCGTCTTGAAAAAGTGACTTTTTGGCTGTCATAACTGAGTGGGCTTTTCTGTCAACAAGGACCTCAGGGATCCTCTCAACATTTGGAGAGGACAAATTAATTTCCCCACAACATCTGTCCGTATCAGAATTGTGAACCTCATACACTGGGTGACTGGTTAACATCCGTTTTGCATAGGGGGAGTTCCCCTTACAAGGGGATCTCTTCCGAGTATTAAGCCGGGTTTTAAATGCTGCTGGTTTTGATTGACCACTGCTAGTTTTATGCAAGACCGATGCCTTGAGCTTTACTTTGGATGGTCTCAAAGCAAATGGATTTGCTGATTTCTTCTTTGCACTTGAGTCAAGTAAATCTTTCTCTGAAGCATCATGGCCTGATATCTGATCGTCAATTGAATCATCTACAGCAGTGGAAACCAAAATATTCTGCAATTCTTTGCAATGGTGAGATTCGTCTGCCTCCAATTTACTAAATCTGCTTTCAAACAAAATTTCACTGTGCTCTGTCTTAATAAGGTTCCCAAGTTTTGCTGGGCTGTCGTCTGATCTCTGCTTCTTTCTGAAGGTCTTTGAGAGTTTTGAGGATGGTCTGGCAGCATGGATCACATGTTTACCTCGCAGGCTTTTGCTTAATTTCATTTTTGATTGATTAGAAATAGCACTGTCTATAGTTGGCAAAATTGATGATGCTGCATACTCGTGGAGCATCTCTTCTAATGGGTCAAAACCTTGCTTCTCATTCACGTCCAGATCACATTTGATGGAAGGATTCACCATCTCATTAATGTCCTCCCGGGAGTGTTCTGATGTTTCCAAGCAGACAGATGATGTCAATTCTGCAATGACTCTTGGTCTGTCATCTTGGTAGGCATTTTGGTTTGGAACCAGTCCGTCAGACTTGCTTGCAAACGGATTGCGATCAGGTTTGCTTTCTGTTCCCTGAGATTTTGCAAGTCCATGACAGAGCAAACTCTGATTAGTCGGCAGATCCTTTCTGACATCCACAGTCTTCACTGACTGGGCATACTCTTGAAGCATTTCTTGGAGCAAATCTGGAGAGTCAACTTTTCTTTTATTAACACACGATCCTGTGTTCTTCTCAAGAAATTTGAAGGAAGATGAGTTTTCTCCAGGTTGACCTTCACCACTACTTCTTCTTGCTCCCCTACGCGAGTGTCTTACTCCACCCCTTGTGGAGGTGTTTCTTTGTTTTATTTTACTCCGTGTTTCAGCCGTGTGCTCATCTTCAGGCTTGGCAGTTGTTGGGGTTTCTGGCACAAAAGTAGAAAAGGCAGCATGGATGTTTCTGGTGGGTGTCACGTCATCACTGAAGGGTGGCTTAGCGATTCTTGATTTGGTCTTGTTGGAGTTGATAACAACCTCTGGTGTTTCTGGAATGACTGAGTTAAAAAGACAGCTTTTCCTGAATATGGTCATGATTAACGTCTTTGAAGTATTTAGCAGCCTCAACTACGTGTCAAAATTCTAAATTGAAGTACACAATCATTTGATTTGATCATAGAATATCACTGTCAACAGGCAAATAAACCTACACAACTTCTTTCAGATGATAACTCCATACACTTACATAACTGAAAGAAGAAACACAGTTAAGATTCAATGAACTTACAGTAAAAAATCTTAACCCCTTGATGATGGGAATTTCTTTCTGAAAGCCGACTCCAAGAATTCCAGCCTTGCTTGGCCACGAAGGCCACCTGCCAAACCGCAAATTCTCGGTTTGTGGCCCTGCGTGCTTTACACCCTTTGAATTACACAGTGAAAAGGCTGATTGTTCGGTGGCATGCGGCTCTACTCAGCTTCCACATTCCCGTTGCCTCTTTTCAAAGTGGGGACTATTGTGAAGCTGGTGATTATGATGCAAATTTGGTCTTTTCATTTCTGGGCTGCACACAAAGGCCAATTGCCATATATACAAGAGCCAGGGTCTGCCTTCTTTCACCATGTTCGATTGAGTGTGGGCCGAGAATGATAGCTGAAAAGAGGGCTGAGGATCTCAATTTTTATGGCGGGTCTTGCTGCGTCCCGGCGCAAAGGGGTTAATTTTTACTCTGTGTGATTTTTGTGAGAGAGAATGCATGAGATTTGGTCATTGTATCACGTCCTTGCGCGAAGCATTTGTTTCACCTTCAAGAATTGCTCGCATGTGCATGCATCTTGTCAAATGGAAGGTGCATACTTGGTGAGAAAGCAAACACAAACGAGACATCGTGACACCATGATGTCATAACATCAAATAAAATATTCATAATGCCAACATTTAAACGATGCACACATTTTAAATGCAAGCAAAATTCACTGCAAGTTTCATATGAACAGTATGAACTAGCCCTTATGAGTCGGATGCTAAAGGCCGGTTCACATTTGGCATGAAAGCAAATATGAACTAGACATCTGATCAAATATCCACACTGTGAATTTGTAAACGTTTAACACATTTCAACGGCAGCAAATTTCAATGCTAATGACTTTCACTCTGCTTTCACATTCCCCTGAAGTTAGTGAAGCATGATGCGGCCTGAACAGTATACCTACCAGTTATTGGTGATCCTTGGTTCTCTTGTGAGGCAATTTTACCGGGGTAGCCGCTAGGCTGTCCTTCGGGTTTGACGCATATTGTGGCTTCGGCTTTCTGTGAGGAATTTGTCTTGGATGTTGGTCCAGGGCTGAGACCTGAGAAATCCTGACTGTTGTTCTCAGCATGCTGAACGTTCCTGATAGCCTTTATATCACTAATTCTGTCATCTTTTGAGAAAGTTTGCTGCAGTTTGTCTTGATGCAGATGTCTGGCAATCAGGCTGTCAACTGTAAGAGGTTTCTCACACCCGTGGTCAGATTTCCTTGCAGAAGGCTTCTCTTTGCCTTGGGCCGGTTTGGCAGGCTTTGCATTTTTCCCATTTGTAGAGGGAGGGCTCTTCAGCTTCTTGACTGGCTGAAAATCACAGTCGTCATCATCAGCTGTTATCTTGAAGCACTGACGGGAGGCGGTAGTTTTAGGAGGAAGTGCTGTGGGGGGTTTTGAGCCAAGCAAGACCTGAGTAAATAACTTGGACTGCCCACCGGGTGGCTACGAGAAAGAAAAAACACAATTATTTATATTTTGATGTTAAAGATAAAAAATTACTCTCCTATAAAGGAAAGGAATACTTATGAATGACCTGAAGCAATTTATGAAATGAAATCAGGTAAGCCTAATCAAGTTGGAAAAGTCATGCAATTAGTATTCAGACATACATTTTCAATAGTTCATTGAATTATGGGGAGATTTTATGGTGAATTAATTTTATTGATACTTTGTAAATTTTTAATAAAAAATGTTTGTGTTATTTTGAAGCAAGTGGTCTTTTACCTGTTTTGAGAAGAACCTGTTCAGGGATGTCTGCCCTTTGATGAGTGTACCTGCCTGGAAAAATTATTTCAGAAATTTTGGAACTCTGAATTGTCCGCTCTTGGAAAGTTATATCCGACATTTCAAAATAGTGAAGAGGGGCAGCAGCAGACTTTGTTGACGGAGCATAAAAATCTGATCTTAATTTTTAGAAATCTGATTTACTTTTCTCTTAAAAAAAACCACAAAAACAATTGTCAACCCTGGAGTAGAGGAAGCAAGTGGCCTACGCCTCATGTGTGCCCCACAGCGAGGTTCTGGTTTCAATCCCATTGGTCCATTCTCACATTTGGCATGACATCACTACAAACATTTAACACACGGCAAAGGGGCAAATTTAAGTTTGTGCTATTCAATAGTGCACAAAAGTTCCCTGATGTCTGACTGCGAGAATGGCCATAACATATTTCTTCCTGCCAAAAAAGTTCCAAGGGTCTATCATCCTTTATTGTTCGGAGATGAATCCTACATTACATTGCAGTCTTGGATATTTGACTGGTTGAAGGTTCTGGTGAGTGATATGCTGTTGGTGCTGTATACTGGTACAGTACCTAACCATGTGTAGTGAATGTGGTTACTATGGTCCGTCATCTGGTTCCATGGTTACATTGACATTATGAATTCATGCTCATGAGATGGAATTCAGACCTTCTGTAATTTCAGATTTTTTCCTCAAAAAGATTTTCCAGGGCCTCCGATCAAGAAAGGAATCCTACACTGTATTGTAGAAATCACTTTAAAACAATGAATAAAATTTCTACTTTCTTGGTGGACTCACTTATGACTCACTATATCTACTTGACCTTGAGTTCAAGCGGTGAATTTTGTAATTATATTGTATCACTCCCATGAAAAAAATAATAAAATACAGTGTAACCAGATGCAGGCAAAATATCCACTTCATTAATCTGCAGGATATTCCAATTTTGTTTGTTTTTTGGCTCTTTTTCCTAAAAAGCCAAGAGAAATAGACAAAGCATAAAGTCAAAAATTGCATCAGGTCTTATTTTAGAGTCTAAATCCAAGTTAGTGTCAATAGAAAATCATCATGACAACGGCAAAAACCAAAAGCAATGCGCACATTTTTTTTTTGAAAAACTAAGAAAGCATTTTAGGCCTATACTTATGAAATGATAGGCTGATCAATAAATAAAAACTTCAACATGTTCTCAGGGAGGAAAAACTTGCAAAGACAAAGTTACAGGGCGGTAGGCTTGGTTATTTCGTGCATAAGTTGAATGCATACACAGGCAGACAGGCATGACGGGCTTACCTCTGATTTCTTTGTCGTCTTGCCCATGATCAGATCAGCTAGCTGCACTTCAGCCTTTATTTGAAATTTCTTGGAAGACAAACTCTGACTAAGCTAAGGCTTAAGCCCAGACTCGACTAGCTACATCATGACGGCCTACACTGTTGTGCATGCATTGCATTGTTGACGACGACCGACAATCATGACGATTCCAAACTTGACATGTTATCATGTATGGCAACACATGGCACTAAGTAATGACACCAAGCAACTACGTTAAAGACCCATGCACAACCATATTCATATCAGGCTTAAGCTGTATTTTACACAAAAGAATCTGCAGGCCTAGAAATAATTACCGAAATCAGTCATAGTCTATATGAAAAGAAGTCACAGACAAGCTTGGCATGGAGCGCTGCGCTGGCGATATGGACGATAGGGATGTAAATTACGCGCGGTTGCACAAATTTATTGCGCCCTCAAGCGTTCAATATATGCCATGAACTTCGGCGGATCAAGGATTTTCCAAAAGGTGGGGGTGGGTGCGTGAACTAAAGTAGCAATGACATAATGCGAGCTAGCGCATGGCGCGCAGTCCTTACAACATGCTGCCCAGGGCCCGCTTAAGGGATTCTAGGACTGGATTGAATTCTAGATGCACTGTGGTGCAATTTCAGGGAGTGTGGCCCCGCTTTTTCTTCATTTTTATTTAGTCATTTTTAACCACATTCCCTCTGCATCCGCCCTGGTTGAAGCGCCATAACGATGCAATATACCCTCACTTACTTTAAAATTCAGGAAAATAGTTAATACAGTCGAAAGACACATATCAAATCAAAGTGGGAATTAACATATTTCATGTTTGTTCCATTTATATGGAGAGGCATACAACCTGGCAGCTGGTTGACAAAGATATTTCCTGTCAAACATTACTTCGCTGTAATTTTTTCCTTTAAACACAACTTTCAGAACCACTTGCATGCAAATTTCTCAGACGTTAACGCTTATTGCCCTGTTCAGAATTGGGCTTCCTTCATGTTATAAAAAACAGAGAGTGCCAGTGACAAGCCATAAGAAACTGACTTGGTCAACAAATGAAATTCAGATGATTTATTGGCCTCAATATGCTCGTTTTTGTCACTGGCTTCTATAAACAAAAAAAGAAGGGCCGTGTTCTTTCAAGCACGATTGCTTTTGTTTTCGCCATTAATTTTATTCAAGATATTCCCCCCCCCAAAAAAAAAAATCTTATGTCAAAAAATACAGGAGAAAAAAGGGACATTGATTGAAGAATCCAAATTTAAGACACTCCAACAAATTCTTTCTATCCAAGAACTTCCAGCTACAGCTAAAACAAATGTGCCTTGTTTGGTTCCCCCAAACTGACACCGTCACCTCCTTCAGCATAACAAGGCCCGAGAGGTGACTTTTCACAAACCAAAAATCCTTGGACAGTTCCTTTAAAGTTTAACACAGCAGCACAAGTTGACATTTTGGACGGTTGAATATGTTTGCATGTTTGCATCTTACATACACCTCACACACTCTGTCGGTTTTAAAAATATTGATAAACCAAACTCAAGCCACTGCTGGCATGTGAAGATATCTCACAATTTCAAGCCATTAAAATGGTGAAATGGCTGACTGCTATTTATCCTCCAATTCCTCACATTTCATAAACACATTTCCTGTTATTAACCACATACGGCCTGGTGCTTTTAAAAATGCAGTGCACACATACGGGTGAGTTTCAAGATTTCAAAATTCTTTATAAATGCACCCTCACAAATGACTCTTCGGTGGCTACTCTAAGCTGACAGGCAACCCTCATTGACTCCTGAATATTTCAGCCTGGCCTGCCGCCCTGTAAAGAGAGCCCAGAATTGTGAGGTGTTGCGTAATTTCCTTTGTCCCCAGGGAATGCAGGTGGTGTCTGTTTCAAACATGGTGGGATTAGCGTGCAGTGGTGCTGTGTCGCTCATCAATGTGGCCCTGGAACATTTTTGTCCATGGTGGTAATCTGCAGGCGCGCTATGCCCAAAACAGTGGTATACTGTTTAAAAACAGTGACGGATTACCTTTGAAAAATGCAACCCAAAAAAATGATGGTAATTCCCAGCAGCAGGTTTTTTGTTCCGAGTAGGGTCTTTTGTTACACGTACCAGCTCTTTTTTCCCGGGCACCCCAGCTCTGCGTATAAACCCAAACTGAAATAAATTTGCACATTAGAAACCTAGAAAGTTGAATCAATTACTTTTAGACTATTGCATTACCTGCTGCACCAAATACGAAGCTCTTTCCAGTTGGCTTACCATTGAATAAACGTGGTTTTTAATAACAGCTCGGGACAAACATACAAAAAACTACACAAGCAATTCAACGCTAAGTTCATATGAGACTTTGATCGTTCAGTCTTTCATTTCTTTCAAAGGTAAGCATATATTGTGTAATTCTGTATTGAGCAAATTTTTTTTCCACCTCAAACATCTTAATATCTTTGGTACTTGAAAACTCAACTTCAGCTTGGGTGAAATCTCAGGAACTGCGAGGTGTTGTTTGGAAATCAGTTTTTCAGGAGTTGAACTTTCTGATTGTCAGTCGGTGACAGGCTGATGTGTACCATGTGACCTGCTCTCATCCAATCAAAAGGGACAGAATCTATGAGGCTTATGCATAAATCAAATCAACTAAAAAACAAGATAATTACAATGCTGCCTGTGATTAAAAAGAAGACAAATTATCCCATCGTTAAAGTTTAAAAACAAGGACTGCTTCAGCTTTTGTCTTGGGTGACCAAGGGAGGGAAAAGAATGTGCAGGAAAAAGTTAAAATGCGTCAATAAGACATGGAAATCGAAGTATTGGAAAAATAAAGCTGCCATATTGAATGTTTCTGAATAAAAATGTATTTAATCAGTCACCTCAGTTCAGCAGTACTCACTCTGGCTTCAATTTCTTAGCCATCCTTTTATAGGGTTGACTTATCTTAAGACATTGACAACCCACATCAGTTGATGCCTTTATCAACATAACTCAAGAATTGTGTTGATTCTAGGCTCTACCTCTCTGGGCGTTGAAGGGAGAATACCCGACAAGATGTGTCTCCTGATGCAGTAAGAATGGTGTTACCATCACTGAAAAAAAACCCCAAAACACAGACAAACAAACAAAAAACAAAGTCAGTATTTTTATTCAGAAAGCGAGTCCAAAATGCTTCACCAGAGAGTAAGTTACAGACACTGCAAAAGTATATCTGCTTGTACGCTAAGGACACTTCTTCACTGTGGCTAGGTAGCCTACAACTGACCGCCAAAAGACTCAACAACCCGAGCATCACCCTATTGGTTTTGACAACCTATCAATCAAGCAACCCCTTAAGGTTAGGTAATTTTGGCACCTCCTCATTCTCACACCAGGAAGTCACCTGCATTTTGTGAGCTTCTGTGGACTATGTTAATAGCCCATAATTTCTGCCTGTCTATCAACTGTGGCCACCTGTGAACTGAGTCTCACCCTGCCAAGTAAGGCTGTGTGTCCTTTGTGTCTGCCTCTCTTTTTGAAGTCACCAGCTCATTGTGGCCATCTTTACGTGGCATAGCCATTATGGGCACTACGGTCTCTGGGGCCACTTTAAGGGGCCACGTTTTCAGGGCCACTTTTCAGGGGCCACTCATGCACGAACAACTGACAAATTTCAACCATCCAAGAGGACATGGCTGTCCTACTTACTTGCTGATTGCCACGTCAAGGATCTCCCCTCTGTGGCCCGTCCACGACGCCACCGACTGCCCTGACCGTGCATCCCAAAGCTGAACCTGACCATCCAGACCGGCTGTGAAGATGGTTGGTGTACCAGAGGGGTCCCATCTGAGTCGTACTATGCCAGCCTGGGGGGGGGGTGAAGGAGATAACACGTAAGTGTGATGCTCAGAGTTCAGTAAACCCCCTTATCTGAGGGAAAGTTGGATCAAGGACCACTACTTAACTAGTGGTTGGTTCGTGACGTACCTAGCGCAAGTGCAGTGAGGTTAAAGTTCAAATGATCCTAGTTAATTGTTGTCAGGTCATTTGGCCGAAAGGGAGGAGAGGTGGCCACAGGAAGGGCAAAATAACAAATAAAAGTGGAAATGGTCGTGTACCAGTGAAATACTGTTTTCCTGGCATTTTTCTAATATACTGGTCCTCTCTGCACTGTGCCATTAAAAACGGTTTATGGCAACTAACAATGTGACCAACCTCGACAGGCTGGTCGCGAATAGTTGACTAGACTGGTCGGACTATTGTCAACTATCCTGTGTTCGATTAAACTTAGTTGAACTATGGTTAACTAAGGTCCTTGACTGAACTTGCCCGAAACTTTTACTGTTTGCAAGACTACCCTTGCATAAACAGAGATTTGCACTAGGAGAAATCAACAGTTGAAAATATGAGAAGAAAATCAGAACAGAATGTTTGTAGCTTTAGTCTAAGCAAGTCAGATAAGATAAAGGGACTGCAGAGAATGCAATGGAAAGTTATCTCAAATCAAAATTTTTGACTTCACCCTAATTTGTAGAGGCAGACCAAACGCGAAAAGAGAAAGGAGGAATAAGCATGGAAGGTAATAAATAGGTGTGAAATGGAAGACGTCCATTTAAAAGCCAAACCAGGTCATTAGGTCACATGGGTGGAAATTAACTCAATTGTAAGATATTATTTTATGACTGCAATGACCCTTCACAGTTTGTAGCAGAAGTTGATACGTTGATAAAGTTCTGAGGAGCAAGAGGAGAGGAATGGAATAAAGGTAGTTTTATTTTACCTCCAGCTGACAGCAATGCCTCTGCTTCTGTGTGGGTATGTCCCAGACTCCAAGGATGCCATTCAGCGATCCAACAGCAGCTAGAGATTGACTGCCGCCAAAAGCGAGAAGCAGAGAGGCCTAGCGTTAGCACAAATCACGAGCACTGAAATGCAAACGGACCTATGGAATACTAAATAAACTGCCCAAACAGGATATCCTGAAGTGGGTGCAGACTAAACAGTTACAATTAATAAAGATAAGGGGGTCCAGACCCATTTTAAGTAAGGAATTATTCTTGTTTGCACAAACATTGCTTGTGAAAAAAAATCAAGGTTCAAGTAATTATTTCCAAGTTTCATATTCAATGATTTCTGTATAATCAGTATTTTAGAATAAATTGAAAACCAAGTTTTGTGCCATTACCTTAAAATAAAAACTTGATGGTCAATGGATTTTATCAAATTGGTTCAGTATTCAAAGCCACAAATAATTTAGAACAGTGTGACAGCAAGAAATAAAATCTTTTGGAGAACAACCTCTAACTCTAGCGGCAAATTCAATCAAGGACCGCTAGTTAACTAATGGTTGGTTTGTGATGCTATCTGACGCATGTTCAGTGAAATTGAAGTGTGAACGACTCTATGCAACCATTGCAAGGTCATTAGGCCAAAGGGGAGAAAAGTGGGCTACAAGAAGGTCAAAATAGCAAAATTTAAAGTGAAAATGGTTGTTTACTACCAACATACTGTTTTTCCGTCGTGTTTCTCATAACTGGTCCTCTTTGCACTATACTATTACAAATGGTTTATGGCAACCAACGATGCGACCAACCTCGATAGGCTGGTCGCAAATAGTTGACTACACTAGTCAAACCATCGTCGACTAACGTGAGTTCGACGAGAGTTAGTCGAACTATGGTTAACTACGGTCCTTGATCGAACTTGCTCTAGTACGCAGTAATAACTGAACTTTGACCTTTGACAAACTGACCTTTGGCATAGTCCAACAGCTTCCACCGAGTTGCTGTCACCGATTTCTGGTTTTACTGCCCCCGCTGAGAAAGTTGCCAAAACCTGGATGGAAAAAATACAAAAAAAGAAAAACGAAACGAATCATAACTTAAGACTTTCTCAGAAATCGACAGAAGAAAATAGTCGCAAACAGTGCTGAATGTAACCAATTGAATAATTTAGGAAAGAAATAATCAGTCCAGTCATTTCCAACCTTAGCATTGTTGCCATTGAACACCTTTGCTGTTCCATCAACTGAACCAGTGAGAACCACAATGTTGTTGCGATGGCAATCTACAGATGTTACACCACTACTGTGTCCAGTGCTATCTAATAAGAGGAGAACAGACATTTTATTCTTAGTAAAAGTTTGCACCATCTGCAACCTATACATTACTCTAAAAGTAATTATAATGTGAGCTACATTGTTGAGATAATTTTGTTTCATGAGCTGGGCATACAATGGATACTGTGGCTGAGATGCACATGCCTTTTTTGCATTCACTTATTTGCACTAATGCAATAGCACAGGGCTAATCGAAGCCATTTTGAGTCCAAGAGGTTAGTCACTGAAACAGCACTTTCCCTCCCGTGAAAAAAGAACAAGAAAGAATTTGTCCCTCATTCTGTCAATTTTGATGCCAAAGGTACACCCAAGCATGAAAGTTTCCAGGATTATTGATGGTAGAAATTCATTTTACTACGGCGGACTAACCCTTGATTGTGTGGATTGCTGTTGTATCTTTCAAGTCCCAAATCTTCACAGTTCCATCTTCATAACCAGCACAGCATTTCTTTCCTACAGGATTGTGGATAAGGACATTTGAGGAGTGAACAAAGAAATCTACAAAAACAAATAGCTCTAAATGTGATTTTATGTTTCGGAGATCTTTATCGTTTGTTCTGGGAATCTTGCTCTTTTAATGAAGAAACTCTTTCACAAACAAATGTTTTTCTTATGTCATGAAATTTTAGTAAGGTATGACTTTGCAACAGCTCCATGAACACAATAACTGAATGGGTAAATCCCTAACAAAGTACATATGACAATACTATCTATGCATTTTGTACACTAGTTTTGGTTTCTGGGAGGATTCCTTAATGATCTCCTTTAAATGCCAGCAGTGTAAAAGTTAGCAACAGACGTGCTTACCTTCCAAAATGCCTAAAAACAAACTGACAGAGAAAATTATAAGTATGTTCACCCTGAAAGTTTCTGTGAGGACTGAATAGACACTCTTCCTTTTACGAAGCTACATCGGCAATGTACAATTTGAGCAAACTTTTAATACCAAGAGCTGTGTCCTGCAACTTTCGGGGATAAAAAGTCAAGCACTTTCTGTGAAAGATCAAATCATGTACCGTCTGGAAAGATCTTGCCACACGTCGTTTGGCAGCCATGCCCCTGCATGGTCTTGCACTCTCCACTGGGTACCTTCCACATCCAGATCTGACCCTCTGACGTACCCCCAAGGAGGACAAGTGAGCTATGGTGCCACGACAGCCACTGTGAGAAGCCACAGGAAGAAAAAAAATGGCAGTTACTTTGGGATTTGGGCAGAACTTTGTCTTTACGAGTAATTCCCTCCAAAATCTGACTCACTTGCTTTGAGAAAGACTCTTTGAGAAAGCTAGGACCCTTTGAGAAAGCTAGGACTCTTTGAGAAAGCTAGGACTCTTTGAGAAAGCTAGGACTCTCAGAGAAAGCTAGGACTCTTTGAGAAAGCTAGGACTCTTTGAGAAAGCTAGGACCCTTTGAGAAAACTAGGACTCTTTGAAAAAGCTAGGACTCTTTGAGAAAGCTAGGACTCTGAGAGAAAGCTAGGACTCTTTGAGAAAGCTAGGACTCTGAGAGAAAGCTAGGACTCTTTGAGAAAGCTAGGACTCTTTGAGAAAGCTAGGACTCTTTGAGAAAGCTAGGACTCTTTGAAAAAGCTAGGACTCTGAGAGAAAGCTAGGGCTCTGAGGAAAAGCTAGGACTCTTTGAGAAAGCTAGGGCTCTGAGGAAAAGCTAGGAGTCTAAGAGAAAGCTAGGACTCTAAGAGAAAGCTAGGACTCTATTAAGAGAAAGCTAGGACTCTGAGAGAAAGCTAGGGCTCTGAGAGAAAGCTACGACTCTGAGAGAAAGCTAGGACTCTGAGAGAAAGCTAGGACTCTTTAAGAAAGCTAGGGCTCTGAGAAAAAGCTAGGACTCTAAGAGAAAGCTACGACTCTGAAAGAAAGCTTCGACTCTGAGAGAAAGCTAGGATCAAAACAACAGGCCCTCTCACTTCTTCAATTTGTATAATTCAGGTCACTGTAGCTAGTAAACAGTTTTTGTACCTTATAAAACCAACGTATGAACAAAAGAAAGATGTGCATAGATGAATAGAGAGATTCTGTATATATTTGCTTCTTCAGAATCCCAACATAGTCCTGTAACTGAAGATTTACAATCAAGAGGTTTCAAAGTGGATCAGGAATATTAACACTGTTAATTGAACAGAAGATCAGTTTTCTGTAATAGGTTACGATCAGCCAAATCCTTTCTCCATCCTCACAGGTACACGTTTTTTACACCTGGGTAGTGAGAGGTAATTGTTGTAAATGGCTGTAAAGTGTTTTGCCCAGGTTTTGCCTGAAACAACTGTACTAGTTCCCTGTGAATATAGTTCCCAATCCAACAACCGACAAAAGCTGCTGGACTCGTAGTACAGAATAGTAAGAAGTGCACATTGACCTATGACCCTGCAATGACCTTCTGACCCTTACCTCCAAGTCAGAGCACTCAAATGACCAGATCTCTTCCTGGGTGTCCACCTTCCAGACTTTGATCAGTCCGCTCATGTCACCTGACACCACCAGGGAACCGTCGTAACTGAAGCCAACACATGTAACTGAGTCTTTGTGACCTTGGAATGAAAACATGGAAATGTAAAGCTTCCAAGAGTATTGGAATTTCAAGCTTACAAAAGAAATGCACTACACCAAAATCAACAAATTTAACAAAGTGCTCAAACATACATAACCAAAAGAAAACGTTTCATCAAAATGTCAAAACCATAGTAACTTCTGCATCAATACTAGACTTTACCAAGCTGTTTGAAGATAAGACATGACACGGACAAAGCCTGAACAACTCTGGAGGCCATTCTTCAGGCATAAACAGCACTGCAACTGTGACCTTTAACCTTTACCTGAGCATTCCAGCACTGGCTGCCCATCGCCAATTTTCCAGACGTACGCTTTGTCGTCCTCACCCCCAGTGACAGCGAGGGCACTCTTGGTGGGCTCCAAATCACAGCAGAATACAGAGGCTGCAAACAAGACAACATTGCCACAAAAATGGTTACAAACAGAAATCTCCAGGTTTAAACAGCAACACTCTTGAATATGTATCAAGTACACCAATTTATGCCACATGAGTAACTTGTTAATCCTGAGAAGACAAAAGTTATTGAGGTAGTGTGTCTTGCCTAGGGACACTCAATTACTGAGTCTATGAACAGCTTCTTCCGATGGAGTGAAAGACACTGTTTGAAGCTATCATGACAGGAAATACCATGTAAGCTTAAGGCAGACAATATCTAGTACAGTGGAACGCCACTATACCAAACACCGTTACACCGAACATTTGGCGTGGACCCCGTCTTGTTCGTTATAGCGGCGTTCAACCGTAGTTGTTGCCACTTCCAGTAGGTTTATGTCTTACTGTCATCTAAAGCCGAGATCCTTGGGCACTGCCAAACTCAAAAGAGTATCTTTGCTATGGGGACAATGTAGTGTCACTGTTACCATGTGCTACATTAATGCATGTTCCTGTCAGACTATGGGCTGGGTTGTACACATTCAATCGAAATCTAGTTCTGTGCCGCATGCCTGTGGCCGACCACTGCAAGTAAGCAAGATTTTGCTAACTTGGCTCTCACAAGCAGACCACAAAAGCCAATCTTCCATTTATTGCAACGGAGGCCGTGATCTGATGCCTAGATTACACCGACAATCTCCAGGCTGCCCTATCAGATGAAGACAAACTTAGAAATATAAGACGACAATGATGTTTTCTGGCTCACCTGTGTGTTTCTCATAGACAAAGTCGGCGTCATCTTCTACGTCTTCTTCGGGCGGGCCATCCATCCCTTGTGCTTCTTCCTCTCCCTCCTCGTCTTCTCGGTCAAAGTCTTCCGAGTCTGCTTCTCCCAAGTCATCAATTGCATACTCTGTTAAAAAGAGAATTGAATAATGAAATGCAAGATGTGGGAAACTTCAGCACATTAGCCGCAATTTCCTGGGCACTTTTGCTATGAAAAACCTTCCTGAATCATCCAAAATCTTGAGACAAGGTAAATGCCAGAAACCAAAAGCACTTTGCGCATTTTATCTTTCAAGGGGCATTAAGTCCCCTGTAATGCAACAGTGGCTGTGCCTACCTCCTCAAATCCAGCAAAATTTCCTGGAGGTTTCAATGGGATCTGGAAGGGTTTGAGTTAGTGACACATAAACTTCTTTTTGAGGACTGGAAACATTTACAAAATTTTCCTATTATTGAAACAAATGACATTTCCATACAGCAGGAGCACACTACTAAGCTGACATTTCTCTTCAAAATCTGAATCATCCACGAAGAAATTTCCACAAATTTTTAAACTTTAGTTATTAAAAAGATGGATACTTTCAAAAATAATTTAAGCTCACCCAACCTGAAGTCAAGATACATCCTTGTATGTCTTTCTCATTACATTGTGCAAAACAAGAGACAGCCGAAACAGAATTGGAAAAGAAGGGATGTACAAAAGGGGAGGAGCTGTGAGCCACTTGAGGTGGGGATTGTAGAAAGGATGTTACTCTTACCTCCTTCTGCAGCATCCAAATCAACTACTTCAGCCATGTCCTCTTCCGCAGTGTCATCATAGCAACCATCAGAATCCCCATCGGGATCCATCTTGCTAGTACTAGTTTACCCTCCACAAAATTCTACTAGTATCCGTGATTATTTCTGGCAAATCATAAAAGCTGCAAGTTAAAAAAAAAGAAAAAGTATTAACAATAATTAACAATTATTCCAGAAGATGTGGAAACCAACACTGACAGATAAAATGCACACAGTTGGCATAGAAATATCTAGCAATACAAATCCTTTTGGGGAATTATAGTTTAGACTAGTGATTTCCAATATGTGCTGAAAGAATACAAAAGACCCCCTCCTCAAAAACTATTTTGAGATTGAAGTTCCCTTAATTGACTAGTCATGGTCCTTTGTGGTAAATCTGCCTGATTTTCACTAAAAGGTAAATCAACTCAGGAAGGAGTACACTAAATCTGCACAAGATTCAAGATTGTGCTGAGCAACAAGTTAACATTATTTGAAATTGTCCTGAGCTTATAATGCCCTCTCATACCGCTACATTCCACTCATGAATGGCTGCTTAATCTAATATACAAAAAAGGAACTAACCAAAATGTAACTACTAGGCCTATGTATGCATGTGAAAAGCTTTTGTATATGTATACATGAAGGTTTCTAATCTTCTTATTGGAAAACTCCCTCTCTACATGTAATTGGTATCACTAGGCCAGTTCCCAATAACATACTGGACCTGATCATCGCTACTAGCCCACAACTTATCAGCAACATAGAAGTTCTACAGGTGTCTGATCACGGCATTGTCACCATTGACACAAATATGAGAACCAAACAGCAAATACATAAAATCCATTAAGAAATACGTGCATCAGTAATTTCCTGAAAGCAGATATGGAAAATCTGAAACAAAACATTAGAGAATTCATACTGGAGTTCCTTAGTTCAAATCCGTCCTAACATTCTGTTAATTCTGGGAAAAGATAAAAACAATGCGCCTTGAAAAATGAGCTGTGGAAAATGCCACCTCCCATGAATAACCCACGATATCAAGCTCCACCGTCAGGCAAGAAAACAAGACAGCAAAGTGCAAACCATGGAGAGCAAATTCTAGGAGTAGAGAAACAGAGTTGCATCACTAGTCCATAAAGCTCACCAGAATTATGTCAATAACATCATAGATAACAACCTAACTGAGAAACCCAAGTCATTTTGGTCTGACGTCAAATTAATGAGGTCTGAAAACCAAGGGATTCCGACATTGCGGGCTACGACTAAACTCTGCACAACTGACGTAGACAAGGCTGAAGCACTCAATTCACATTTCGAATCAGTTTTCACACAAGAACCACCCACAAAAAGGAAATCACCAAATTAGTCCATACCAAATCTCACCAGAGGTGTGAACGGAGTGGAGAGACAACTAGCATTAAACCCAGCAAAAGTAGGTGGTCCCGATGAGCTGGCACCCAAACACATGTTGTTGGGAACTGTAGCAATCCAGTGGAAACAAGCTCTTGTATTAAACTGGCATGAACAAAAAAGGTCCTAAATCTAACTTGGCGAGCTGGTATCCATTACCTCTTTGCCAGTCTGTGCCGCAAGGTGATGCAGCATATTGTGCTTAGCCATACTGCCACACAACTGAAAACACGCAACATTTTGCTAGACTCACAACATGGGTGTAATTAATCTCAGCGTGTCACAACTAACATCCTTCAGACTCAACTCACGGACAAGTCGATATAGTCTTCCTCGACTTTGGCAAAGCCTTTCACTTTTGACAAAGTGTCCCAACAATGATTATCTGCCAAGCTAAATTACTACCTCATTTGAGGCCCAACCTTGGAGTGGATCAAACAGAGTACAGGCAGTTTCAGTCAATGGGTCAGTCCTTGACCCAGTTTTATTCTTGCTATATAGAAATGACATTCAACAAAACATTAAATCAAGGATGCAGTTATTTGATGATAGTTTTCTATACAGTGAGATAGAGAACCAAAGTGATCTTTTATTTCACTGAGAGATCTTGAAGTCCGAACAGATTGGTCCTCGACTTAGTTGATGCACTTCAACAAAAAAACGTGTCACCCTTTCCATTACAAAGAGGAGCAATTCAAGCACTTTCCAGTGTAACATTCTTCTGAACCACATGCATCTGCACCTACCTTTCTTGCTGCACTACAGAAATAAAGGCTCTTCTCAGACATCTGCCCTGCTCCAATGAACCCAACAGAAAACGAGCCTTTTCGCCATCGGCTCCACATGACGTTCAACACGGCACAAACAGGGATTTTAATCTAGTTGTTTACCCATAGAAATGCTGCTCTATTTCCCCCAAAAATTCTATGTAAAATAGCTTACATACCTTCCTGCTGAGTACCAAGAAAAACGGGCCGAAACCATGCTGTTTTCAAAAAATAGGTGCGACAAGCAACAGCTGTTGGGTGCCAGTGCACGTGAGCGTGCTGTCACACTATGAACACTTTCTGTGAAGGCCACACGTACATGGATGTGGACAAACATCGCTGCCTGTCTGTAGCTACAGGCGGCCTACACCTCAACAGAAATTGTTCACATATAGCCTATGGCGAAAAAGGCTTGTTTTCTGTGCGGTTTGTGGGAACGGGGCAGATGTCGGACCCCACAGTTCTGGGGGTACACTCCCCCCCAAGAAAAATAAATAAATTGTATTTTTAGCTAGGAAATTTTAAAGAATGATAGTTGAAATAATACTACACAAAAAATCTCAAGAAAAAGATTTAAAAAGAAAAATTCAAAATCCCAGCTCCTTTTTTTGGGGGGTCCAGGTTGCTTGGAAAAAAAATCTACGTTTTTCTCAGAAACTCTCGCTTCATATATCTTGCACATCAAACCAGCGTTCAGTCTCAATTTTTCTGCATAAATTTGCAGAAAGCCGGACTGAATCTTAGCATACGATCGCGCTTGCATGAACTAAACAACACATGCAACTACATGCGGCGTACGAGTTGGTCGGGGTACGAGTTAGTCGGCGTATACGAGTTGGTCGGCGTACGAGTTGGTCGGCATTCAATCCACCTACCCAGCTCTTGAATCACTGATCCCGACCTACATGTATGTGAAACAAACAGGCCCCTAATGTAGCTGAATAGCATTAGCTGGATGAGGATTCTGAGACTCAAGACATCCATTGTCTCAGCCCATTACTAATGGGCTGAGACAATGGATGTCTTGAGTTTCAGAATCCTCATCAGACTCAACGCCGGGTCTGAAAACGTCTGAACATAGGCCTAGGTCTACGTCCGGAATCTAGACAACAAAATAGGAATAGGCCCAGGCGCTAGGCCTACTTTATTTACGGAAGCAAGCGACACAAAACTTCACCATGTATCATCGAATGAATATTTGAAGCGGTAAATGAGATGCCTACTCTTTGAACGTGTTCTAGGCCTATTATTAGATCTGAATGACCAAGTAAGGCCTTATTTCTTTAACTTTTCTCACCGCAGCTTCGCCAGTCATACTGCACAGTGAACCACTGCACCGCGAACGCAATCCACGTGAAGAATAGCGCCCTCTATTGCCTTCAAGTCATTAGTCGAAAGCAATTTTCTCTACTTCAAACCCATCCCCAAACCCCTTTGGTCCATTTTTACTTCGTTCATTCGTTTTTCGATTTGAAAACGACAAACAAAAATAGAAAAGAAATAAAGTCTTTTTGTTGCTGTTCTTCAGTTTGAAACAAACAAACAAGTCGTTTGTCACTTTTCCATCTGAAAACAAAAAATGTGGAGAAAATGAAATCATTTTAGTTTGACTGTTGAAATGGTATGCGATAAAACAAAGTAAATTCATTCTAAATTTAATGTTAATCCAAATTTCGCCTCACAGGACTCAGTTCTATTAGGATGCTGGTCTCCGAACGTATCTATAAATAATGTAAGGTTGGTATCCACCGCCTCCTAGGAGGTGCAGTATACCACATCTCTGAAACTTAAACAGTCGGCGTTAAAGAAGTTGTGCAAAAGCTGACAAAATTGCATCGACCCCCTTACCAACCCATCAGGACTGTGGGTATTTTTCCACGATGCTCCACACTTAGGTGTATCTGTTTATTCGTTTAAACATTAATATGGCATATGGCGTGCAAAGTTAACATTTAATCCCAGAATAGAGATATCTCTATTCCTGGACGTGACAAGTTAACATTTATTCATGGAATAGAGAAATAGAGATATCTTTATTAAGTTACCGCTTCAGAGGTCAGCAGGTCGCCCTCTCCGTTCTGTGTTTAAAAATCTATTATCTTGAGGGGTTTTGAATCGTGTCCCAGTACTTGTACTGCCGTGGTTGATTACATTAGGGAACTTTACACAACCCTCGGGCTCAGTGAAACTTTGTGCGTTACGCTACAATGACCTTTCTGTTGACTCAGTGTGCGGGACTGGAAACATAATAGAGAAATTTCTGTTAAAAACAGGACGTACAATAGAGATATCTCTATTAGGAATGGAAATATCTGTATACGCGGATTAAATGTTAAATTTGCACGCCATAATGGCAACTGGAATTTGAAAGCACAGAGGCAAATGATATACAATCAAAATTGTTACGGCTAAGTTGTGCTTAGCATTTAATAAAATCACGATTTTTGTGTGAATAAAATTGCACTTCACTTGTATATGTAGATGGAAACATTTTATAAAGGGAAAAGGAATGACATAAAAGCAACTAAGACTTGAAGAATAATCCCCAAATAAAGAGGGCTATGGAGACGAGGGTGAGAACAAACACAGCACGACTGAAACAGTAGGCTTGATTGCAACCAAAAAAGAGCGCTGTCCGGGGGAGTACTGTCTCAACAGTTTATTTTTAACTGCTTTGTGAACCTAAATCTTGGCATAGCTGGTCTGGATAAAAGACCCCCAATAAATCAATAATGAATTACTTTTACACTGACAGATGTATGAAAATGTACCAGTTCCTTGTGTCGTATTCCAGTCTACTGGTCTCCCCTAACGGCTTTGCAATAACACTGCCTGACTAACTTCAGGAGAGACAGAGCCATCACTGACGTGTGGAGTGAATGATATACGTCGTGTCTAGTTGATCCTCTCTGCACAACTCAGAGTTAATACCTTTTAGAGTGCCAATTTTCAAAATAATTTATTGATTATCATTGACCGCCAGTACCAATTTCTTCCTACTTTCTTGGTTTCTCCATTCTGTTTGGAAATGCATGAAATATGTCACAACCTCTTCATTCTCCTCCCAAAAGTGGCTCGCCTAACAGAAATATTTTATAAAATGAAAAAAAAAACCAAAAAGCAAAGTTTGTCTAAAGCAAATGTGGCTCATCAGGGCAGATTTTTTAACTCTGTACTTCTTGGCATGAAATAAAGGAAAGCTTACCATGTCTGCAACAAGCTTTCCGAACTATGACTAGGTCCATTGCCAGAAGTCTTAATGTTTTCAACCAGCAAAGACACAGACCTGGTACGTCTATTAAAACACAACGCTTATGTCCCATGGACTGGATATCAGCCCATCTCTTGTGCCCATTTTGTACTCCTGGGCAGTAAAAGCCAACTATTAGGGTAAAGTATCCTGCCCAAAACCGCAAAGCATAATATAAACTTCACAAAACATTAAATGACATAACACGTACTTCCCAAGTAGTATAAAATGGAGTTTCAGGAGACAAAAAACATACCATTATACAATGATTTTTGTCGGCAGGTAATGATCTTAAATGGGAATGCACTAACAGGAATAATACATACCTTATAGTTTTTCTGGTTTAAATCGAAAAATAAAATACCTTCAACCCCAGACAATTATATTAATTTAAAAAATTCATATCATCCTTTGTACTAAGCAAATACTGAATAATTTCATAACCTCAATGGTTGTTAAGAGTGAAGTCCTTGGCATCTTTTAATACAGGAACACATGATAAATGATTTCTCTGAACTGCTTATGTCATTGATTGAACCATTAAAATTCAACTGAATCTGCATGAATATGATCCAGATCAAATTTCAGTGTGTACTCTCTTAATTGCGTACTCATATGAAGTGTGCTCTTATCTAAAACTTAATCAAAAACGATAAATGGCTAAAAACAGTACTTACTTGATATAACTGGTGATGCAGATGCACAGATGGTAAGAAAAAAAAACGGGAGAGCCTATAAGGGTTTGAGAATCCATAAGGGGTACAGTGGGGCATTGAGGCGGGGCAGTGGGGAATGAGGCGGGGCATTGATTGGATGGGGCAGGGAGAGTAGAGCATACATGGGATTTGGAAGTAGGATGGAGTATGATTAGGATGGAAATGGAAAACAAAAGGGATATGGGATAGGGTGTTTGCAGGGGTGTGGGCGCAGGTTGGGGAGAAAGTTGGGCATGGTGTGGGAAGTGAGACCCAGCAGAGTTGGGATGGAGAGGGATTTCAACTGGGACAGGGTGGGACATGGGGACGGAACAAGTTAGGGGGTTGGGTAACGTAACTAAAGCAAAGAATTTTCCATTACCGACATAATTTCAAAACAAACCCAGGATGAAACAATACTTAATTTGTAAAAAAGCCACGCTAAATTATTCAAGGTAAAACATTCTGAAATTGGAATCTAGTCTTACGCACCATTATACTTACTCTTTCAACTAACCAATCTGTCTTTACATATTTACAATGGAAGCATCTAAAACCATTAACATATTTACAATTTTGTACAGGAATAAGTTTACTTAGATCAGAATGAAATTTCAATTTGACATTTAAGGCCGGTTCACAATCGATATAAATGCAAACACAGGTTTGTGACGTCAAACAAAAGTTTATGCTGCCCAAACCAAAAAAGATGAACATGTCGTCCTTTTTTCGCTGATCAGATATTCCTTAACATCACATTGGTTTGCCATGTGCACGAATGTGAATGCACCTTTAATCATGAACATTATATTTCATTTTCAACACGTTCACTGAATAAAAAACTCATATCAGTTCTGCATATATTTTTACGATATTTGTCTATACACCTCTACATTGAGCTTCGATATTTTAACACAATACCTAGAGATTGGACAGTCTGGTGCCAGCTCTGATTAACAGGAAAATAACAGGTAGGCAATGAACAGGTGCAGGGCCACAGCATAGACCATCATCACTGCGCGGAGGCTGGGATGAGACCTTCTGATGCGGTTGATGTACTTACTGAAGAACAGTATGAACAAAACCAAAATCAAATGAAAAATGATGATTTTTGGTATATTTAGTGGTAGCTCTGGATTACTGCACAACACTGGAATAAACCAAAACTTTTATGAAAGAAATGAAATTTTCAGAAGAAATGCTCTTGCTTGTCATTACTTTCCAGTTGGGTTGATCATGTGTTAATTGGCTAGATGAGAACAAAAACTTGTTTCTTTGGTGTAAAGCTTGTCAGGTAATACAGAAAATGAATGAATCGGGAAATTATGTTGAATCATGAATGAGGCAACTAATCATCAAGAATGAATAGAAAACGATAGATGACAAGCAGGCAGAAGCGATGAATATACATTTGTTAAAACCAATAAACAAATGGCACTGCAGCATTTGCAACATATCACCAGTGAGGATTGCAGGTGAGTTTTCAAGCAATGGCTTAAGTGGAAAGTAGAATGTTCACAAAATAGTTTCTTGAATTCCCCTAAAACCACTTTATTCCAATGATTGTAACTGTTCTCATAATCAAAGCTGAACCACTGCATGCATTATATGATGTGACTAACTGCACTTTGTGGGTAAACACTGCTTCCAAAATAAACAAAAAATTATCGGAGGATGAAAAATGGGCCCACCTACGTCCAAAACAAATTTGATTTAGACCCAATCTCCACGGTACTGTTCAGAATATGAGGGGACCAGACTGCAAGACAGAATAAACAAAAAAAAAAAAAACAAAGTTGAAAAAATATTGTAATTGGGCACTTCATATCTTGAATATAAAATCAAGTCTGGTTCCCTGATACACTTATCATATGGCATTAAGATTAAATATAAATAAGGGAAGTAGCTGACCTTCGACCTTGTAGCCAGCTCACAATCTGCGATACAAAGGATCCAGCTTGACGAGCTGTAATAAAATGAAGCAAAGGCAAAACAGGAAAATGAAATGTAGAAACTTTCAAACATTTTCCAACATCTCCTGAAGAGGTACATTATATCGCAAAAGAGCTGTGACAAGCATTCTACACAGCACAATACCCTAAAAAAATGACGGGTGCCTAGTCCCTTTTTTACATTCATTACCCCAAACCTTTCCTGTCCATTCTGACTCCACCTTTCCGTAATTAGAACACAACGTTACATTATAATTAACTCAATCATCAATCTGACGCAAACTGACTTGACCATACACTCTGACGTGACTCAAGTCACTTCCATAAAATGACTCAAGTAACATGATCTGTTACTCACCACGGAACCAGTACCTGCTACCATTATTTGGACAAAGAAACCCACCGAGTCATGCACTATTTTTTAATACATGGTAGGCAATGGTTGCCACATGAAGACTGCAAGGCAACCTTTGCGAGAGACTCGTGCCAGGGAGTCTGGTTGGTGCAGCGGTACTTTTGTCGCCTTCCGGCTCTGCGACCTGGGTTCCGAACCTGCCCAGGACAATGTGTGGAACGGGTCCACTGTCCCTTTCTGACTGTGTGGATTTTCCCTGGATGATTCTTCTGGGGTTTTTCTCAAACTTCTACAGCTGGGCCCAATGTCATCGCGCTGCTTACTGCAGAATTCTGTGCTAACCGCACAAAACTAGAAAAATTCTACGCTAACCCTTTAAGCACACAGTCCTTAGTTACATGCACACAAGCCAAAATTCCTCGTTAACCTGTGAAATATGTTTGCCGTGAGCACAGAATTTTCTGCTACAGGAAGCGCCAATTTTTCGCTTGTGGTCAGCAGTGCTGTGAAATTGGGCCCCGATCATTACCCTCATCTCACTTGTGGTTATAATTTATACGCAGTCATATCCTTCCATTTCTCTATCAATGAAGTTCCTATTGTTATTGTAAAAGGAAAGAGTGGAACTCACTAAGCACATGTCCCGTTTGGTACGGCTGGAGCAATGGCTCACTCTCTGCAGCCTCGTCTATCTGCACTTGGGTGTCTTGCATTGCTGCAATGGGCTGAGGTTTCTCTGGGGGTCCGCTCTCAAAGACCCGGATCTGATCCTGAGCGCGCACCAATGCTTCCTCCGTTCGCAGACGTTGTTCCCGTTCCCTCTGCAAGGCGGCCTGAAGAAGACAAAGCATAAATAACAATACTACTAATAACAGCAATGGTTATTCATAGAGTGCACGTATCTATCAGTACCGGCGCTCAAGGTGCCATCTTAGGCTGTGCCCGAAACGGGCTTCTAGAGCTACGGCTAGGTCTATTGTCTGTTGTCTATTGTCATTTCTAATGGAGCGAAGACCAAGACCTAGCTCTAGACAACAGATTCGGATGCAGCCTTAGTATCCCTGCTGATTGGGTTTAGAAATAGTCCTGAAAATTCAATACTGCTGTTTCAGGTACGAATGGTTAATGAACACAAAGAAACGCTTATATAATACTCCAAAGTGGGAAACAGTAATCACAGTGAAGAAACTTGGGTCATGGTGTATGCCTATCACTGGATTTACACCTCTTACCCTGTGATCGGGAGTTACAAGCCCTAAGCGTTAGGTGCAAAGATTAAACGGGAGTCAATTTGAGGATGGTAAGTATGTATTTGAAGTTTGAGTGTAAGATTCAGAGCAAAGAAGCAGCTCAACAAGGAGGCATTTCAAAATTTGGAGGAAACTTGTTCCTTTGGGCATTTTCCGTTTTGAATGCTACCAGTCCCACTGAGAACAAACATCGTTCTTTGTGTCTGAGTATTGCCCTTGCTGCACCACAGTGAAGAGCCCCGACTACAGGCATTTTCAATATGACTTCACTGGTTTTGCCATTAATATACCACAGTAAGAAGCCCTAGCCACAGAGAATTATGACCAATTTGGTCTTGGCTTGACTTCAACAGAGGCAGATTAAAGATGTGTGGGAAATGTATGGCATCAATGCAACTGATCCAAAGACAGAGAGGGACGTGTATTTCCAACTGGAACATTCCTAGAATTCCGAGTCTAGGAAGCTCCTTGTTAAAACCCTTTGCTTTCCAGAATCTTGGGTCATTTCATCCAACTGAAAGTACACGTATTACCAACTTTGGCGTCACATTAAGTAACTTTTTGTGCTGGAGAAATTGGACCGAAACTGAGCTGTTCAAATCCTGTGCTCCATTTACCCAGTTGATTTTTCCGCTTGGTGTAATGCAGCAATACGGGTGGTTCACAATACAGTGCACACTGGTTGCCATGGGACAGGCCATTTTTGGTGGTGCATTGTGGGCAATGCTCGACAAATTCTATTCATCGGCTACATGCAAGGAACTTGAATTAATCTAGATTTTTGTTTGTCAGGGAAGACAAAGCAACTCTCTTTCTGTCTGAATCACTGAAAACATGTCTCCCAGTTGTCCGACATTTTCAAATGCAAATTGTGGAAAGATGGCCATTCTTCTGTTGACCATAAACCGGAAAAAAATGGCTTCTCTGTAACAACCTCTCGGTGGGACACTGTACCATGAACTGTCCCTATGACTTGTTGCCCTGTAATTTCTGACACAAATGTGATTCCCTTTCACCGTTTAGATCTATCTCTCAGTCTCCACGGTAGCTTAAAGTGAATTTTGTTGGATGGGGTACAGTATAAGTGAGAACATAAATTGCTTTCCAAATTTAAGAGGGGCAAGAGAAAGAAATCTGCAACACTCTGCCTTCAAGAAACATGACATGCAGACAAAATTCATGCTTTTAAATAGAATGCAAATTGTTTGCAGGGGTAATCTTAAGGTGTTAGACTCTCAGATAATTAACCAATTGGCAAAGACACTGGGAAAGTTAGAGTGCTAAGCCACCCACCTCAAGAGTTAGTTGGACATCTGAGGTGGGTGTTTTAACCTACAGTAACAAAAAGACAACAAACATGCTTTTTATTATTATTGTGAGGAGTTGTTATTGTTAAAAGGTTTTCCAGTTGTTTCCAATTTTGGCCTTGATGAACATTTCTAAAGTTGGGGTGCCCTCTCTCTCTCTTGGGAAAAGTAGGATGGTGCCCCCTCTGTCTGTATTGTACACACTACTTCAGTGACTGGAACCAAGGCTCCTTTCCACCGGCACAATTTTTTACAGTGTGTACAGATTCCATGAGTGCATCAACAGACTAATTGGGCACCAGGACCTCGGAGAAACCTCAAAATGGACCTGCGTACCCCTGTGTCCCGAGCAAAGTCCTGATCCTATTTCCAGTCAAACAGTTCCCAGAACCCCCCCCTTAGGTAACAACAACTCTTCACATTATTAAACAAGGAACGCATAATCTCTGAAGGAAATGCTGAATACATTTTAACAATTAAGGACTGTGGCATGCATGTTACTCATACACGTTTTATGAAGGCTTGTTTCTATGACTATTGTTAGTAAAGACTTTTGAACTTTAATCAATCAAGTATGTTGGTGGCCAAGTTGTTGCTGTCCAAATTCCACGTGTATATGAGAAGAGATCAAGCTTTAACGTTCCTTCATATTAGTAAACAAATAAATGCTAACATGACAGAGGTTCATGCAACCAAAAAATATTTATTTTCACCTCTAGTTCAGAAAATTCATTGGCCATAGCTTCTCTCGCTTGCTCAGTATCTTCCAGTCTGCGTGGATAAAATAAAGAGAAAAAGCTGAAAAAAGGGTTTAAAAAGGCCTATTAACAAAATCATCAATCAAATGTTTCATTTTTCCCTTGCATCAGAACAACAAAAAGATGGAAACATATAGTTTCAAGCAAAATAAATGGTATACCTTTCTAGAAAATCAAGCAAAACAAAGGACACTTGATGAAATTTTTACCTTGTTTCAAAGAACTGATTGATTATCTATCTCACCTTCTGCTGATGTCAATGAGTTCATTTTGGTGGGTTTCCCGTGCCACTGGTGCACTCTGCTGAAGGCTGGATGTCTCAGCTCTTGTGATTGGTTCCTCAATGTCCTGCAATAATGCCATGCAACAATAATTGGCCAATCATCACATGGGTAGATACAGTTCAAATGGCAGATGAAAATGTTAACATTCAGCACTGGAAATCTAACTACAACTGGAGTTCGAAGTCCCTTGGCATTTCTCAGCAGAAGCTATAATAATTTCTTCATAGCCTTAACAAACCGGCATCCTCCAATTTCAAAATGATTTTACACATCCTACAGGGTTATGTGTGGTATCTTACCTTTAAATCTCAAAACACCACACAAAAGATATGTGAATAATTCACTCAAGAGTAAATCAATTAATAATAGGTACAAATGGTTCAGCTCAAAATCTCTTTAAAAGAAATATCTTGAGCTGTAAATTAATAGCCTCTAATTCATCAATATCTCCAAAAAACAACCACCTGGCAAGCCGTTCTGCAAAAAAGGGGCGTAAACAGTAAAAGCATGACCACCATATGCCCTACTGGGCTTGGACGGATGTTGGCATGCTAAGTTTCACTGCAACACAACTTTTACTCCAACTGTTGGATGCATGAATCAGTATCCGGTCTTCCAGGTGCAGTAGCACAGACTGGATAAGTTTAAGAAAAAATGTTTAGAATCTCACAATTTTGCAATAAATTGATTCTTTGACGGACTAGTGTCAGGACATGATTTCTATTGTCTATCAAAGTTATCCATTGTCTATCTATCCTTTAAGTTTATAAAAAAACGTTCAAATAAAAAAGGCTGCAAAACAGGAATTTTTCACAATAAACTACTGTCTTGACTCACCACAGCATGAGTGACAAACGTCCGTTCCTTGTCATCCAACTGTTCGGTCAGCTTGATGTTCTCCGACTCGGCCAGTCGCAGCTCTTTCTGCAGATCCTTAGCTGCTCGGGCGGAGTTGTGCAGCTGGATACTCAAATTGTTGCGTTCCTCGATCAGCGCTGAGATCTGCATCGTCATACCTTCACACCTGAGGTGATTGGAAGACGAAAAAAAAATCAAATATTTTTGATGTATACTTACAAAACAAGGGATTTCAATGAGATTTGAAGCTTTGCATGGTGGAGAACAGACTAAGGAGAGGGCTTGCAGTGACACCATGTGGACAGATTTCTCTCAGAAGAGGTGTAGTTCTGATAAGAACCGGTGAGTGTGTACTCGATGTTTCGGCCAGTGTACTCTGGTCATCCTCAGGAGTTGAGCCAGCTCCAGGGATATTTCATGAAATACCATTAACTGATCTTTTTAGTAATCAGAAGCCAGGGGAATTTCTGCCTTCCAGCAATAGAGTGACATAAATTGACATATTTCACTGCATTATTTTGTGACCAAACCTTCCACTTGGGGCTGTTTTATCCAAGATCCAGGGCTTTGGTTCAGAACTAAACTTCACTCCTTAGTAACACAGCCCCTGTAGCATATCGTCCAACCAAAACACACTAAAGATGTTCTTTCATTAGCTTATTCTTTATCCCTAGGGCATTGGTACTATGAGTCTTCAGGAATCCTCCAAAATACTCCACTTTGCAATAAACAAATGTCATATTGTGCACCAAGTCAAATGTAAAGTAACAGTGGCTGGGCTCCTCATTCCGAAATCCTGTCCAAAACCTCTGAAACCTCTAAGTGCATTCTAAAAGAACCCCTTAGGGTTTAGGGTTAATGGTAACTAAACTACGGACAAAGAAGAGGAAGCTAATGAATTAAATGCTACTCTTATTCTGTGATGAAGTAGCTGAGCTGGAAAAGGTCTCACCTCATCTCTCTTTGGTGAAGGCTCTGGAGTGCCTGAAGCTTCTCTGCTTCCACTGTTCCAAGCTCTGCCCTCACTCCCTCAAAAGCCTCCTGCCAATGCCTCAGCTGCTGGTCCACTGTTCCCTCCTGGTGAGCTTTCAGCCTCAAGCCCTCGTTATCGGCGCTCAGCTGTTGCACCTGCTGCTGCAATACCCCCAGCTGCGCCCCGAGCTGCTCGCTCTCCTGCTTGTATCTCCCCACTGCCACCCGGAGCTGAGTGCAGTCCCCTCTCAAGTGGTCCCGCTCCACTTTGAAGGTCTCCAGTTCCCCTTGGAGCTTCTCCAGTTCCTCCCCTAGTTCCTCTCTGTCTTGCTCCAGAGTTTTGTAAGCTGTGCTCTGCTGGGTGAGCTTCTCCTCATTCTCGGTGCCTGCTACTTGTAGTTGCATGATGACATGCTCCCGTTCACCAAGGTGCCTCCTGAGATTTTCAAGATCAGTGGTCACAGTCTTTAGCTCAGCAGCGGTGGATCGTGCATCTTTCATCTGATCACTGTACTCATGGAGTTCTCTTACGAACTCCTCATTCTCTTGGGAGAGATGAACATTCCGGGCCCTCAAATCCTTGTTCTCTTGTAACAAATCCTTATGCTGTGACTCTAATGCTGTTAGCCTTGATTCCAGCACTTTCAGGGCTTGGACCTCATCCTGTGCTGTCTTGGCCTGATTCTTAGCAACTGCAAGCTCCTCAGCCAAGACAGAGTTCTTTTGGTCGAGTTTGTCCAAGAGCACTTCCACCTCCTCTTTCTCAGCTTTCAAGATGCTCTTGTCAAGCTTCTCATGTTCAAGCTCCTTTGCCAACTTCTCAAGACCTACAGTTTTCTTGCTCAGATCTTCTTCCACACTGCGGAGTTTGGAACTGCACGTTTCAATCTCTCTGTTTAACTTGGTTTGCACTTTTGTAAAGTCATCCTGTGAACTGCTACACTGGCTGTTGGCAGAAGCCAGATCAGACTTGAGCTGCTTCATCTTGGACTGCAGGTGATCAATACCATCTTGCTGCTGCTGCACCAATTTGGACAACTTGACATTCTCATCTGCAAGAGTCTGCCTTTGGGCCTCCATGGTTGCAGCCTGTGTCCTGACACTATCCAGCTCAGAAACTTTTGTTTTCAGAGATTCGTTATCCATAATCAGCTGGTGGCACTTGTCCCGAGTGGCTTCCAGTTCCTGTTTCAAATTCACCGACTCAGAGACACTCTGATCACTTGACTGTCTAAGATGCTCAAACTCCTGCTTCATGGCCAGGAACTGGGACTCTGTTTCGGACTTCTTTTTCACCAGTCCGTCCATTTCTTGCTTTTCTTGCTTGAGCTCTTCAACTTCCTTTCCCAACTTCTTCCTGGCCTCATTGATCTTGGTCAGTCTCTCCTTGAGTTTTTCATTTTGCCTCTGGATGGCATCTTTCCTGTTGTTGATCTTCTGAAGTTCTTCAGTTGCCAGAGTTAATTGCTGTGACAGTTCTTCATGTCTGGTATTCGCTTCACTCTCTTTCATCTCACACTGATCAACAATTCTTTGGAGGTGTTCGTTTTTATCTCTCATTTCAATCAGCTCCTCGTTCAACTTTTTTACATTCAAAGCAATTTCATCTTCCCTGGTTTGCGACTGCTGCAATGATTCCTTCTCTCTCAGCAACTGCGACAACTTATTGTCCTTCTGTTCCAGTAACAACACCATTTCATTCAACTGTCCACTTCTCTCCTCAAATGCTTCCTGCTGTGTTGCCTTGTCTGACTCCATTTGAGCCACTTTAGCCAAGAGCTCATTAACCTCAGAATCCCGTCGCTGGTCATCCTCAGCTCTTTGGTCTAGGAGATGCTGCAGATGCTCCTTCTCTTCAGTAGCCTGCATCAGCTGCTGGCCTACGTCTTGCAGCTTGGAAGCTAAGCAGAGTTCTTTGTCTTCCACTTCACACAAATGCTGTCCCAGGTCCTCTCTCTCTTTCAGTGAGCTTTCCAGCATCTCCTTTGTTCTGTCCAGCTCAGACTGCAGACTTTCCTCGCATCCCCTGCTTTCTGTCACCGACTGCTCAAGCTGCCGCTTCAGCTGCGTCATCTTTTCGGCATTTTCAGTCAGCAACTGCAGACGTGACTCCGAATCTTCCACTTGCAATTCTAATTGTTTAATGGTTGCGGATAAATCCGCCTGATCTTGCTGGTGGACCTTCTCTGCTTTGGCAAAGTGCTCTTCAAGTGCTGCATTTTTCTCCTTCTCGCCATTCAGCTCTGTTTGAATTTTCTGTAGTTCCTCATCATGCACCTTGGCATTTATCAGCTGTGCTTCCAATTTGTTTTTGATATCTGACAAATGCTCGATTTCCTGTTGATGACCGTTGTCAGAGTCCTTAAGCTGTTTCATCAAGTCTCTGTTTGTCTCTTTTTCGCCTTCTAGTTCTTCTTGAATCTTCTGTAGCTCCTCCTTCAACATCCTGGAATTCTCCTCCTGAGTTGCTTGCATCTGAGACTGCATTGTTTGGATAATAGCCTCTTGGTTATTTATCTCAGCGTGTGATTGTTGGAGTTTTTCTTCCACTGACACCAATCTAGAGGTCAATGTTTCTTTTTCATTTCTGCATGACTCATTTTCCAGACGAGCCTCTTCTAACAAAGCTTCTTGCTCTTGCAGTTGGCTTTCAAGACGAACAGTGCTCTCTTGCAGGCTCTGCATCTTGCTCAGATTTTCCATCTGCTTGCTGCCGAGAGCTCGTTGGGCAGCTTTCAACTCTTCAATAATTTGATTTGCTTGTGCTAGGTGATGTTCCTTTTCCTCAAGTGACTGCCGTATTGAGAACAACTCTGAAACTAACCTTTCCCTCTCTGTAGACACAACATTAAATTTGTCAAGTTGCTGATCGAGTTGCTCTGTGAGTGATGATGATTTCATTTGAAGCCGGTTGTTTTCCTCAACCATGATCTCCAGCTGTTCATTCTTTCCAGTCAACAGTTGGTCTCTTTCTTCTAACAATCTTCTTAATGACGCAAGCTGTGATTTTTCTCTCTCACTATCTCCACTCATGGTCTGCATCAGTTGGTCCCTCTGCTCAATGGAGCTTTTAAGAGAAGCACATTCAGACTCAAACCTTTCTTTTTCCTTTGTAGCCAGCTCTGACTTTGCCTTAATCTCCTTGGCTTTTACCAGCAGCTTCCCGTATCGCAGTTTGCCACTCTCTATTTCCATTTTCAACTTAGCATTTTCGGTCTCCAGCTCTGCCTGCCTGTCGAACATTGGTGCACTTTCAGTCATCTGAACCCTTTCCACTGTGACTTTCTCCTGCTCTTGCATGAGCTGCTCCTGTAATGCAGACAGCTTTGATTCCTGCTCCGAGAAGCTCTCATTAAGATCACTCAGCCGGCCTTCCTTGTCCTGGAGTTGCTCCTGGAGGTCCTTCAACTGAGTCTCTTTGGCCTCAAGGGCAGCTTCCAAGTCTGGCACCTGTACGCTCAACTCTGACAGGCTATTGTTGAGGGAGCTGACTTCAGCATTGAACTCTTCGTCTCTCTCAAGAAGCTGTTTCTTCAGAGTCTCAACAAGGAGACATTTCTGCTCAAGTTCCCTGTCCATCTGGAGGATTTTGTTGGAAGAGGTTTGCTCGGATTCCGTCCGAGAGTCGGCAATGTCCGACATCTCTTTGGCTTGTTGTTCAAGCTCCACTTGAAGGGTCTTACTTTCCTCTGTCTTGCTTGCGAGAAGGCTCTTTAACTCATTCCGCTCATGGAGTACCTTCTTGCATTTCTCCCTCAGTGATGATATCCTTGACTCATATTCACTTTTCTTTTGCTCAAACTCTTGGTTCAGATTCCTGAGTTCATCTTCCCTTTTATTCAAAGACGCATCTGTGGTGGATGCCTTCTCTGAGACTTCTGACAGGTTTTTCTGAAGCGAAGCAATTTCACTGACCAGTTGTGCATTGTTATCTTTCATCTCTTTCATGGAGTCACCTGTGCCTTGTACAATCTTTTCGTATTTCTCTTTCCAAGTGGCAATCTCTTCAGACATCACAGCTTCTCTCTCCATAAGGTCCCCTTTCAACTGGGTCCACTCACGTTCTTTAGTTTGCAACTCTTCTCTCAGTTGGGCTGTTTCAGCTTGAGACTGCTCAAAGCTATCTTTCAGAGCTGTAGTCCTTGCAACCATATCCTTATCCCCTTTTTCAATCTGCATCTTTATGTCTTCTAGCAGGTTGTTCTTGGTCTCAATTTCAAGGGCAGATCTTTCCAAGTTGGCAGAAAGATCTTGAACTGTCTTTTTGAGATGCTGAATCTCCTCTGAAAAACTCTCTTCGTTACTGATGAGTCTCTGTGTCAGATCTTCAATCATCTCAGCCTTGACACAGAGTTCTTCACTGGCATGCTGCTCCTTTACTGCTGCTTTTTTCAGGCACTCCTTCAGTGGCAGAATTTCCTCTTCAAACTCTTTGCTTCTCCTGGCCAGTTCTTCCTCAAGCTCTTGAATTACCCTTTGCTTTTCATTGGTTTCTGCAGAGGATTTCTGCAGGCTTTCTTTCACAGCCATAACCTGGGTTCCAAGGGATTCCTTCAGTGTTTCCAATTCCAGATTTGATGCACTCAGCTCCTCTTTCAACCTGTCCCTCTCTTTTGTAGTTAGGCCTGCTTCTTCTTTGTGCATGTCAAGCTGCTTCATCAACGCCCTTTCTTTTGTTTGAAGCATCTCCAGAGATTCCTGAGCGTCCCTTCTGCATTGCTCAATTTCTGCCATGAGAATCCCTTCCCTTTCATTCTTTGACTGAATTTCTTCAGCAGCATTTTGAAGCTGATCTTTGAGATCATTACACTGTCGATTCAGCTGCTCTGCATCCTGTGTTAGTTTTCCAACACTTTGCTCCAATGACGAGATGAACTGCCCTCTTTCCTGAAGCTCTTTCTCAAGTTGTTCTCGCTGCGTCCCAAATGAGGTCAACATTTCTTGACGGGATGTTGACTCCAAGTCCAAGACCTTTTGTCTTTCTTCAAGACTGTGTTCAAGATTTTCGTGAATCTTGTGAAGTTCTGTTACCTGTTTCTCTTTTGTGTTTAAGGCATCATTTATTTCTTCTAAGTTCCTCACAGCAGCATCCAATTTCTTTTGTAATTCTTCACAAGATGCAGACTTCTTTTTTACCTCCTCAACTGCTTGATGTTTTTCAGCCTCTGAGCTTCCAAAGGATTCCTTCAAGTTATTTATTTCAGAAGCCAGAGCAGTCTGCATTGTGGCAAATGCTTCTTTCTCTGTTCTCATCAGCTCTTGGTGGGAGGCCTCCTTGTCCTGCACAAGCTGTAAGGATGCCATCAGCTGTTCCTGTAAGGATTCCACTTTGCCTTCTTTCTCTTCAACCTGGCGGGAGAGCTTCTTGATGGAATCCTTCAGCTCCCTCATCACATTTTCTGCCTCAGAGGACTTTTGTTCAAACTGAGAACTTAAATCCTGGAATCTGTTGTCCTGTTCAGTGATTGTCCTCTGATTCTCTGTTATTTCAGACTCCAGTTCGGAGATCTGGCCAAGAAGGGAAGCCATCTTGGACTCCGTCTTCTTTCCCTCAGCTGACTGCCCTTCTCGGAGGACCTCTACTTCCCGCTCAGCCTGATTGACCGAGTTCTCCAAAGTCCCAATCCTGTAATCCCTCTCTGTAATTTGCTCCCGCATAGAGGACAGTTCCTGTAGGCTGTCCTCCATGGCCTGTGACTGCCTTGCTATTTCCTTCTCCTTCTGCTGGCAAGAGTTGGTGATCTCCAGCAGCTCCTCCTCTTTGCTGTGAAGGGTAGCCTCCAATTCTCCTTTCTCAGCAGTAAACCTCAAGTGCTGACTTTCAAGTTCTCTCTCTAGTTCTGTTAGATTTATCTTGGAGGAATCTAGGTCTGCCTCCAGCTTGCCTTTCTCTTCCACAAGTCTGGCGGACCTCTCTCTCTCCTCCTCTAGTTTGACCTGTGTTTCGGCCACATCTGTCTCCTTGGATGCAAACTTGTCGCAGAACGTCTTTACTTCATCCTCCTTTTGCTGAAGTCTCGTCGACGTTTCGGCCAAGGCAGCTTCCAGTTCTTGAATTTTTGCCCGGAGTTCATCTTTTTCCTTTGAAAAGTAGTCAAACTGGTTTTGGAGGTCAGAAAGTCTTTGTGAAAGGTTGTCTCTTTCATTCCCAAGGGTTTCTGTTTCCTTGTGAAGGCTGTCAATTTGGCTCATCAAATCCAGCATGCGGTTTGTCTGAATAAGCAATTTAAGAAATAAATATCAACATCAAACATTATTAAATCGCATCGCTTCTGAAGTAAAAACAAGAAGACTATGGAGAGTCAGAACAGCAAAATTAAGGTCAAAGAGCGGAATTTTTACTGGATGCACGGAACATAACACTACTTGAAAGCATTCCACATGTGAAGCATACCTCATCTTGCAGAACCTGTTCAACCCTCTCATTTTCAGCCGTCACCCCCTCCAGCTCAGCCTGGGCGTCTTCAAGCTGCTGCTGTACCTGGCTGCACTTAGTCTCAATCTCGGCTTTGGATGCCTTCAAGGCATCTAACTCAGCCTGAAAAACAAGACAGCACAAAAACAGTAAGATCTGCTTGAGTAATGAGACTCGGGAAGAAACATGGGGGTGTCCTGTTCTTGCACTTGCTCAACAGCGTAGCGACCAAAAAAGTACCTTTACAAACATCTCAACACCTGTGGCAATTTTGAATCTCTACAAAGCATTTTCGGTCTTCCTTGATGCTCTAAACTGGCCAACGATGCACTTTATTTTGCGCATGAGCTGTTTGAATACTCTACAGAACCAGTGAAAATGCCAAAGAAAGATAAAATGGAGTTAATTCTTTCCTAATGATATACTCAGTTTATTTTTCGAATCACATCCAGAAGAAAACAAAATTAATTGAAAAGATGGAACCTACTTCTGTTTGGCTTCTTGCTACCTTGTCCCCCTCCAGTTGTCTCAGTACCTCCTCCTTGCTGCTCTCAAGAGCTCTGACCTGCTCCTGGAAGGCCTCCCTCTCTCGCTCCATCTCGGCCAAGGGAAGATGCTCCCTCTGCATGGTCTCCTTAAGATGCTGGACGGTGTCTTGGAGGCTGTGTGCTTGCTGCTCAAAACCTGTAAGTGGTGGCAAGGGAACCAGATTCATTAAATGCCAGCCGAGCAATGTAGGGGTCAGGGGATTCCCCCGTGAGATAATTACTTTTGATGTGAATATCAACTGTGAACTACCGGTCTCTGGCACAAGATCAATGCATGGGTATGAGCATCCCCCGTGGTGTGCAGACTTAATACGCTATCTCAAAGCCACGCCCTTTCAGCCGGAAGTCACTTACACTGTATTACATTTTGGCAGGACTTGAGACGTTTCAGGGCTTTTTTCCGTATCAGTTCCCACGCTTGAGACCTGCACCTTGGTGGGCTAGCAGTCATGGCAAGATGGGTCCTTGTGGGATAACTTAAGCCCTTTTCCCGTTGGCTTTAGTGTTCACACCTATTTGGGCAATCTTTTAGACGTCAGAGTTTTTTTGGGGGGTTACAATTTCACTGCTGATTGACATCTGGGATTGAATCGAAGGGAATCAAGCCCCAGTCGCCTCGAGTCCATTTTTTGTCTGGTTTTGCCCCTCCTTTCCTCCTGAATTGGTGGACGGATCTCCACCCTTCTGACAACTGCAGAAGGACCGGACCGCTACAGCAATACCACAGGATAAAGACGTGATCCAAGTTTCAACTGAACACTGCGTACAGCATAAATCATACAAATAGAGCAGTCTCATTCCAAAGTTTGGACAAAACTATGAAAAGACAAGTAAAAGAAGTCATTCCAAATTGTACTTTCCTAAATGGAGACAAAGCTGTAATTATGAAGGTACAAGTAATCTCTTTCAATTTCTTTTGGTTTCACGGTGAAGGAGAACTACTTTTTCTCACCATCCTTTTCCTCTTCTAACTGTACCATCCTCAATTCCATGGCAACTTTCTCCTCCTTCAATTCATCTCGCTGTGCTTCCAACCTTACAAGCTCATTCTCAAGATCATTCCTTGTTTCACTCAACAAGGTAATCTTTTCTTCCTGTGACACCTGATGATGCAAAGAGCAAGCCAGAATGCATTTTTACTCGTAAATGCTTTACAAGAAAACCTTGAATTTTTAAGAATTATCCGCTCTGAGCGGAACAAAAGAGGGCGTGTTTTTTGGTACTCGCCGCATAGGCGCACCATGAGGCACGCAAGTAGATGCGCGTTTGACGCTGAGTACGTGTAACTAATTATTGCGGCCTGTATGTTCTTTGCGTCCACGCAGAACACGTGCAAGAAACCGCTTGTAACCACCTGTCTTTCTTTCACCGAATGGGGGTGCACTTCAGCTCGGGGCGGATACGATGAAAAGAAACCCCACATTAGAAAGCAACTGTAACTTTGGCAATCAAATAGTTTTCCAGCCTATCCATTTTTCCATAAGTAAAACGACTGTTACACAAGTGCTAACCATAACCCAAAACTGCCAAAGGTCACCAACGCCCAGTCACTATTACTATCAATGAGGTGTGATGTCCCACAAAAGTCCAAGCCTAAAGAATGCGCCCCTGATTTCCTCCTCAGTGAAAGATTTTGGAGGATACAAGAAGGTTCTTAACATGATGCCTAGGGAGTAAGGGTTAGCTGTTAAAGGAACCAGGAAATAGAAATATTTTTATAAATTTTACTAAAAACCCTTGAAATTGCATCTTTGGGTTTCAATTAACCTCATTTTCAATTTTTGTTTTGCAATTTTAACCCTAACACTCCTCAATCCTCCAACAGGTGAAGGATTGAGGAGGGTTAGGGTTAACCCATATTTTGATGTTTTTTTTTTATTTTTTATGCTAATGCATATTTGCATATTCATGAGCAGAACTATTATGTCATTCAAGGCAATAAATCTCAATGTTGCACTGATTTGTGCACAGAAAATTTCTATTTTTTTTACCACTGCTATGGCAGATTTTATTTCCTTTGGCATTTTACTGCTGTGTAAGTATATGGCAATAATCCAGCCAAATCCTTTTCATAGAAAGGTTCCCAGAAAGCAAATTTGGGGTTCACAATTTGAACATAAAAACATGCAACCTGAACCAGGTCTTCCTGGATTTACATCAAAGCAAAAGCTCCCTCACTTGTCCAGAAATGCTTGGTCAATTTTTAATGTTTCAAAAAGTGCACCGTTCAGTTCACATAACTCAAAAAAGATGTCAAACAGTCTTCATACATGGAAGAAGAGTACAAAGATACACAAAAAGTGATTCGAAGAAAAAATCATTTCCTGGATCCTTTTAGAATATTCATTTTAACTACATTAGTTCCAATTTGTTTCTTCCAAACTTCATCAATCCGCAAAAAACTGCCCGCTGGCCTCATGCGAAATAGCGGTAGCTTGACAAGAAGTGCATCTGTCAAACTTTGTTAAACCAAGCCTTACATTGTGATGGATTTGGGAAGGTTAGGTCAGTATTTCAGAAAATGACAAAGATAGTGAGAGATAAGGATGAGGATAAAAGGGGGGAAATTGAAGCATTAATAGAATAGTGGGAAAGGGTGAGAGAGTCCTAATGAAGCTTAAGCATCAGTCAACTTTGATGAAAATGGTAAAAAAAAAAAACAAAACCTAAAGGTTTTTATATGAGAATAATCATGAGATAATTCATTGCCATAAACTGCTGGTGAAAAAGTTAAGCAACAAAATTATTACATTGTATAGTTACCAAACAAAAACGAGTATCGTGCAAAAATCTGAACAAAAGGTAAAGCACTGTTGCCCACGTGCGAAGCAAACCCATTACTGAGACCAAAATATCGCCAAAAGAGGGCGTATGTGTGTCTGAATGTAGACTCCTGGGCAAATCTTCACAGCAGGAGACTGTTCTTCAGGCAAGTTACTGTTGGAGGGCAGTATCAATGAAAAGGTAACCAAACTACACACTTCATCTTCTAAACCCTCCCTTTTATCTCATTTCGTGACTCATTTCTTCTGTTCAAGCAAGCACGGTCACCATCTTTACAATTACCGTAGATGTCATTGGCACAAATTTCACAAAACGTGTTTATTTCACAAAACCAACCTCGTGTACTGATACAGGCTGGTTCGACGTAACACTGACTCACAAAAATGATTTCCGTGGCTGAAGTGATTCTGAACACAAGAATGGCTTCTTTTGCAGCCCCACGTTATGTTGACATAATGCACCTTTAGTACTTAAGCATGGGTAAATGCTAGGCCAAGGTCAGCTGAGAAACAGTCTGGATGTTTGTACATTAGCTGACTTGAGCACTACGATCAATTTAGCTGAAACCAAGTGCGGTCTCGATATTGTTGTCTTGATGGCTCTGTGCTAGAGTGATGCAGTCAGTTTCCATTCAAGCATGTAAGTTTGCTTTATAAAGTTAGTAATTGAGGAAACTGCAATGACTACCTTAGCCATTGCGCTGGTTAATATTCCACAGATCCTCAATGTGTTCTTTTTAGCAACAGCAATATGATTGTTAGCAACAAGGGCAACAGGTTTCAGGTCACGCACGTGGACAAGAGCACAATGCCTCTTTGCACACATACTACTATTCTGAATCTAACCATGAGTTTTTCGGCACTTTTCTTAAACTCGCTCAGCTCAACAAGCTTGGTCTCGACACTGACCCTAGACTTCATCTCAGCGTCGCGGGCGTCCTCTGCTTCGCAGAGCCGCTCCCTGAGATGGGACAGCTCTGCCGAGAGAGCATCCATCTTGTCCTGTTGCTGGTGGTCAAATTCTAGCTGATTCTAGAAGGCAGGGAACATTTCGTTCAAGACAGTTAATGACGCACAGCTGCTTGGAATATGAAGCTATGAACACAAGGACTTGGCTTGGCATTCATGGAGATGCCAAGCAGACAAACTTTGCTTTGGCAAATAACTTGATAGGCAAGAAATCCGCTAAGAACAGATTGCATTGTACATTGCATGCCAGTTTGGTTGGTAACCTGTTTTGTCAAGTAAACATTTTCCATGCTTAGCCATTTCTGTGCTTCGGTGCTACATTATCATTCCTCATATCATAAACATGTAAAGTCACAGCCCCCAAAAAATCATTCACCTTACGCTACTGTAGTTTATACATAGGCTACTCACTGGTAACCAACAGTCAGGTTACGAATGTAGTAAGTACATGTACTGCGACAAGTCAAATTCATGCAACTGGTCCGCACTGATAGGGCAATCATATGAAACTGTGACAACTTAGGTATGGGCTTCGAGCTGGACTAAGAGAGGGCATTATTTCCCTAGTAATGGAGTCTCCTTTCAACTAGGAACGCAAGCATTGCAGTCGCAATTGATGGGGGATGCTTCCACTCAAGGGGTATAATAGATAGGGGCTTTAAATTCAAACATTTTGTATCACTTTGTTATGGATAAGGCTCAGGTTACTCACAAATGTCTTAAACCTGGCCATCTATGGGATGGAAAGCATCCACAATGTTATACATGAAGTACTAACCTGTCCATATTTTTCTCTATAAAGACTTGACCAAGAAAGTGAGTTGTTTCTGCCTAAACTGTCTAAAGTAATCCCAAGGTGATCAAAAGATAAAGAGACATTTCACAGATTTGGGTATATATTTTGCAGACCAATTTTACCCCTCAGTCACCTGAAGTGAACAAATGCAAACTGGAGTTTGTTTGTTTTTATAGACCACTATTTGCTTACAACTTGTATGGTGGCCAAAGTTTGCAGAAATATCACCTATTGGTTGGTTTTCAATTTATCTCCAATTCATTCAAAATTGAGTTTTAAATTGGGTCTTATTTTCATTTCGTATTTAGTACATGCATTACTATCCAGTGTTCTGATAGCTGCCTGGGATTTTTAACACTTAGGGAATTATTCTTTTATTTTTGTACCAATGGCCAACGTCAGTTTAGGCAGCCACTTGTTGGGAAGACACGACTGTGACGACAAAGGAACAGACCCAACAGCTCCTACCTGGTCTAGCTTAGACTGCAGTTCTTCCACCTTGGTCTCCACTTCAAGCCGTTCTTGTGACTGAGTCTCAATCATCTTGCGAAGCTCGTCTTTCTCCTCACAGACATTCTTGCATTTGGCTTCAAGATTACTCAAGGCTTCTTTCAATGTTACTACACGGACAGGTATAAATCAAGTAATCCGTCACTACACAACTGTGACACACCACAGTGAATAAAGACTTGCGTCAGTTTAAGACTTTTCTTTTCCGGCATATTGTCTTCAAATTGTCTTTGCAATCTTCAAAAATGCTCAGCAAGTTTTGATTGGAACTGTAAGTACAAGCACGACATTTTATCTGGTAAGTCAGGATGGTAAGACCTCTGCGGTCCGGGATCAAATCTGGCTCGGTCCACATGAAGATTGGGTTTTCAGTCCCTAGCTGAGTCCGTGGGTAATCCCCAAAACATTTATCCGGGGTTTTCCTCCCACCTCTAAAATTGAAAATTACTTTATTGTCTTCTTCACTCATGATCATCCTGTAATTGGTTTTAAAGTGCTGTTGGATGGCCAGATATAAATAACTACAAATACATTCTATTTGTTGTGTGTAATCCTCGACCTCTGTGATCTAAGAAACACACAGCAATCTCAAAACAATTATCTGGACTCACCAATTTGAGCAGTGTTCTCCTCAAAGTCCATCTGCTTGAGTTGTAAGTTTCCCTTCTCCTCCTCTAACTCGGCAATCTTGAGTTTCAGGTCACTGAGTTCCTCTGCCATGGAATCCGCCTGGGTGATAAGGATACCATGTGCATGTGCGTGTGAAGAGAAAAGACATGCACAGAAGCGCAGTAAAGTATACTGGGCCTTAACCTCTGACAGCTGTAACAGGGTGATCTCAAAGATTCAACAGTGGATTTTATGGCATCGTGCCGTGTCCTGGATACATGGCAACTTTGGAACTAAGCAGATACAATGTTTTCCTTGTACTGACTGTTAAAACTGCCAACACACAAAAAACCTTTGATCACTGTTGCATCCTGCTGCATTTAAAAAGAATCTGGAGTTCCGGGGAAATTTTTTTTTCAAATTCAAGAGAGATATTTCAGTTTGAGAAAGAGAAGAATAAGGAAATATTAAGTGGGGAGAAAAACAGGGAGACAAGAGGGATAAAGTTGAACATGAAAACAGCAAAATGCTGAGTGAAAGGAAAAACGTATCTGACAGATGGCTACCTTTTTAAGTTCTTCAAGATCTTCCTCGAGGGACTTTATCTTAGCTTTGGCTTGGGCTTTTACTTTCATGAACCTGGCCTCTGCCTTCTTGTTCAGCTCCTTCATCTCCTCCTCATTCTGTCTGATCTGTTCATCCTTCTTGTTGAGTTGCTGCTGTAGTCTCTCAGTTTCAGCCTGTCTCTCTTCCATCTCTGCTTTTTCATGCGCCAACTGGCCCGATCTGGTTTGATCCAGTTCCGTCCTGGTTTGTTCTAGTTCTGTCCTGCTCTGGGCCAGTTCTGACCGGGCCTGCTCCAGGTCTGAGTGCATCTTGTTGTGGTTCTCTGTGAGCTCGACACACTGTGTCCTTGCCTGGTTGTATGCAGTGTCGTACTCCTGGAGACTTGTTCGCAAAGTTATCACAGCATTTGCCTTCTCTGTTAACTCGGTCTCGTGTTTCTCCCGGATGTCTTCAATTTGATTTTCTAGGGTTTTTTTCTCTCTCCTCCAACCTTCTTCATGGGAGGCAAAGTCCTCTTGAAGGGTTTGCAACTGATCCTGATAAGTCTGAAGTTTCTCAGTCAGGGATCTGATGGTGGTCCCCTGCTCCAGGAGCTGCTTCTCCTTCTCTCCGATCTCGCCTTGCAGCATCTCCAAGACACGAACCTTCCCCGCAAGGATCTCCTCGGCTTCTTGGCATCTCCTCTCCAGGGCCTTGGTGGCAGCATCGTTGGAACTCCCCACCAGCTGGGACACCTCCCGCCGGTGTTCCGTCTGTAACATCTCCAGCTGGCCTTGCCGCTGCTTGGCCACGGCCCGCACCTCCGCCATCATCTCTTGGTGACCGCGGATCAGCTCTTGCTTCTCCGCTTCCGAGCGCTGCCGTTCCACCTCAAGAGTGGCATCCCGCTGCTCAAGCTCTGAAGTCAGCTGGCTGATCTTCTCATCTGTGCCTTCCATCTTCTCACGCATGTTGTCAAGCACTCTGTTGAAATCAGCGATTGCTTGCTCCTTCTGCCGACACTCTGCTTGTAAGACCTTCAACCAAAAACACAAGCATTTGATACAGACAGTTATTTTCATAACTCGTTGAAACACCGAGTGACCCATTTCAATGACAGAATGAGTACACCTTTATAGAAATTAACCCTTTGGAATCAAATGTTGGACAAGAACTTTGCCACAAAATACACAGCAAACTCAGCAAAGGTTGAAGTGCAGAGCAAACAGACATCTCTTAACATGGCTCGAACAACTGTGGGTGATGATGTTCTCTGGGGTGACATTGCTGGAAATAATGGTTGCAGTGACAGACTGAAAATCTAGGTGAGAGACGTAGTAGTGAATGCTGCTGGATTTTAAAAATGTGATGAGGTGAGCTTACATGTACACAAACTTTTTTTCTCTGCAATTTCTGCTATAGAAACACGGTCAGTTTCAGTACCCATATTTTCTCCAATCTGAAACTTTAAAACTGTGTATTTCCTCACTTTAAAAACTAGGTCTTTAAAGTGAGAGCTAACAGAATCAGCTGACAAAAAAGCAAACAAGTGTTCAGATAACATGACGGGGAACAAGACAAACAGGTGCGTGAATGAAGCATGTGCTAACTGGCAGGTAATATAAAACATGAATTCACACAGACATACACATAAAAGAAAAGTTAGCATATTAAAGTGCTTAGCATACATGTAACCTGCAGGAAACTGAGAAAATAACCCCAGTGACCCTCATTCGCTATTCAAGTTGTTTCTATGGAACACTTATTACATCCGCCAAAAATCCTTCACGGTGCAGGAAACCAAACCAGATTAACAAAGAAAGATGGCGGCCAGAAGCTTGGACCAAGAGCAAGACTGGTTACAGGATGCGGAGTGCGGAAGAATTTAGACGGAGAGCAGTGTACCACACCAGCACCCAACCAACCTGAATGACCTTGTCCCGACCCTGAATGACCTCATCTTTATCCTTAGCATGCTCCTGCAGTTCATGGGCACGTTGTTCAAGCTCTAAGGCTTTACTGTTCTGCTCCATCACCATTTTATCTTTGTAGACAAGCTGGGCATAGAGTTCCTTAGCCCTGGACGATTCTTCATTTAGTTGGTCCTGGGAAATTTGGGGGGGTGGTGAGGTGTCAACTGGCAGTATTTTATCCATATAAAAATGCACATAAAACAGAAGTTGTGATGCCAGTTGTAGGCGGATAAAAAATGAAGAACAAATTAACAAAGATCTCAAAGGTTTCTTAATCAATTACATTTTACAGGAGAAAAAAGTATCCAAAAAATCCCAAAGCCCCTAACAAAAGTTAATTCAATATGGGTGCTTCATCCACAAACAATGAACACAACAAACTCCCTGCAAGAGTTTAATATGGATCACAGTAAACTTTTTTTCTATCAGAACATCTTATGAAATACTGAACTCAGTATTCCATAGAGTACCGAAGTGAATATGTCACACGCACAATTAGCGTGTAAAAAGGCATTAGTGCAAGAACCAGCGCGTGAACCAACACGTGTGCGTACTCCATTCGTTTGTACTGCACTTTCTGGTTCACAGTGACGTCACACTTCGGTGCTCTATTGCCTGCATTTTATGTCCTTCCAAAATCCTTTCTCCTAAACATTATCTGACGTTGGAGTCAAAAACAACATGTGCCAAGAACTCTAACCATTTTTGTTACAAACCTTCCTTTGACTTAAACACACTCGTTTGATTATGAAATGCGAACCAACCAGCCAACACCAGCATGCTCGGTGGTGACATGGTAAGACATCTGCACTTGGCAAACAGGAGGTCATAAGTTCGAATCCCACCTGAGTATGGCTTGTAAAGTTTCTCACAAGCCCTCGCACAACACCTCTCAAAATACGCTATTTCAGAATCAAATCACCAGAGCCGACAAACGTTGGGTCACAGTGTGCTACCTTGTCAGCAGAGGCACTGAATTTTTCAGACTGAGTATTCATGGGTTTTATTGAACTGGATGGGTTGTTCAATTTTCCCGAATAACGAATCCTTCAACTTACCACACGAACTAGGACAAGTACTGAGGCAGACATGAGGGTGCAGGTGGCCTAGTGGTTTAGGTTTGAGACTCCCAACTAAGAGGCTTTTAAGGGGTCTGAATTTAGCTGCCATACGTTTTGGCCTTAGGCAAGCTGTGCATTTAACCCCCGCTTGCCGCTCTCTACCCAGGAGTATAAATGGATATGGGCATTAGCTGGAAGGCAACCTACAATGGCCTGGCATCCTATCTAAGAGGGGGGTTCACAGTTGTTTCATGTCAAGGAAACTGGAGATAAACACTGGCCTGATAAGCAAAAACCGCTTGGGAGCGACTTGCTTTTTCCCAAGTTGAAACATGGAATGGTTGCATGCTATCACACTAACCTGTAATTCCTTTAACCTCGGACGGCTCTCAGATGCACCCTGGTCAGCTTCATCTTTTCCGGTCTTCCCACTGCCCGTTTCCCTGCCCACCCCGCCACTCCTCAGTGCCTCAATCACCGCCTCCCTCTTCTCGATGATTCTCTCCTTCTCCAGCAGCTCAGCCTGCAGCTTCCGCTCCCCGTCCTCCATCTCGGTGATCATCTGCCCCTTTTCGGCCAGCTGCTTCTCTCGGGCATTGATGACAAGCTGCTTCTCGTTTACTGAGTGCTCCAGCTTCTTGATGAGTGCCGAGTTCTCTGAGAGAGCCTTCTCACTCTCCTCTAGCTTCTTCTTGAGGACAATGAGTTTGCCGCGAGTGGCTTGGTCATCAGCTCCATCAGTCTGCCAAAAAAAAAATGAACCTTTTAAGACAAGAAGTAAAAAGTTCTTATACCTGCAATCTATTCACTTGGATTTCCTTGTGTCTTTGAGCACAAAATGTACAGTTGAGGACAAATATCCTCTTTCGCAGAGTATGAAATCTCAAAATTTGATCCCTCAGATGATAAAAACCACTGCAAAAATCACATTTTCTAGTGTAAAAGGCATCACTTGCTAAGAACAATAAACGTTTTTAATTCTGGTAGTTTTCTGATTAATAATACAAATTTTGGGAAAAGTAGATAGCTGTATTGGATAGTCAAAGTAAAGATCTGTCATCTTGTTTGCAAGGAAAAGATGTCCTTTGAAAAACAGCAGTTTTTGTTCAGTTTTTAACGTAAGACCAACAGCAAATGCCGGAAGAAGAAACAGCCTTAATCGTTTTTGGCCTTAGTTAGAAATCTGCTCCACGCGAACCACTCAGTGTAGCAAGATCCAACACGTGGGACTGTTCCAAGCTCCAAAAACCCTCCAAGTACCACTCTGCCAACAACTGTACAAGATCCAGCAGCATCGAGAATTTGGATGGCAATCAGAATCCCTTTAGGCACCATTTCAAACTTCTTATCAGGTAGTTGTCGGACAGAATGGTCCGACCGATACATTTATAATCGGTTGGCTATCACGTGAAGTGTTCTCAAGTGGCCAATTCTAACCGATAAATGCCTCTACATTGCATTCCTCCCAAGGCTACGTGGTGTCAGTTTCATTTTTCCGTTTGATGGCCCTGTCCAACAGTCAACCGATAGGAATTTTGAAATGATGCCTCAATTCAAAATCACATTTCTGGTGGCCCGATGCAATGAAAATACAAGTTATCCTTAAATTACACCACTAGATTTTTTTAAATACCTACTTTGGCACTTGAGCTTCCTTCTTGTCCATGTGCATCTGCTCCTCCTTTCTTGAGTTCTCCGATCTGGTTAGTTAGCGATGTGATCTTCGCTTTTGCCTGCAGTTTGAACTTGGAAAACTTGGCATTGCTTTCCTGAAAGAGAAAAAACGGACAGCTAAGTTGGGTTAAAGTCTAGCAGCTACCAGACCTTACCATGACATGATATTATTAAGCTGTCAGAAATCTGTAGAACAAAGTCCATTGGAATTAAGTTGATTCTGAAAGCAATAACCAGGGGTGTGAGTGGAACTTTAAAAAAAATTGCTGAAATCGTGAGCGCAAAGCGCGAAGCATATATGGCGCAGGGTCCGGGGCCCGCTTCAGGGCCCAGGGAAAATTTTGAAATGTTCATGTAGATGCTCTGTGGTGCATTTTACAGCCTCTTGGTGCAACGGTTGATCTTTGTTTTCATGCAATTTAGGCTACGCATATTTTTAATTTTACTTTTTCTCCATATTTGGCTGACCAAAATTGTAAATATCTAGGTATATAGAGTGAGCTGGCCCTTTTCCCACCTGATCTAACCACGTTTTCAAAATTTTGATTCTTTAAAGAATGTACATTGGATGTCCATTCTTTTGGATTTTCCCAACATGGATGGTGTTGCTTGCCCATCTATTTTGTATTCCATGTATGTCCATTTCCATGGATTTTTAACTTGAGGATCAGTCTTGTCGAAGACTGTCTCCAAGTCAGAGCCTCTTTGGACAACTGCACATTTGTGTTGCACTGACATTTCGATGAGTTTATGTCCAAAAATTGTATGATAGGCTGTACCAAATGATGCAAAACCGTCCAATAATGCATGACACAAACACTTTGTGCACCCCGCGTCAGCTGTCACAAAGCCCTCTGTCAGTGAAAGCAAAGTTTCCTAACCTTTTTTCAATCGCAAATTTAGAGTGAAATGTGTGCTACCACGAGTTATAGTGAACCTTGTTAGTCACTACTTCCGCTCGAGCAGAAACGGCTGTAACCAGTCCAACTGACACATATAAAGCTGACTCTTGGTAATACGATCTCGGGTAAGACGAGACTCTGGTTTAGACAAGCATATTTGCCAGTCCTGACTGAATTGTGCACATTCCCATGAGGGAAAAAATGTGTAATACGAGCTCGAATGTTACGGGATTTCGGTTTAAGACCAGCATTTTTTCCACACCAGTTGATTGCAAATCTATTGTTATCTGTCTATTTAGCACAAGCTTTTTAAAGGCAACTTGTTAATCAGCCAGTCCATTCAATTTTGAAAGATGCTTCCGTAAATTATGTGTATACAGTAGAACAGCGCTGTGGTTTTCCCTAACTGATTCAAGCTGTGTCCAGTGCTGCAAGAGACGAACAATGGGTGTTTGCGGTTCCCGTAACCAACATAGGAATTCCTTGAGGCAGTTCTCAAACCGCCTAAACATAAGCGAGTGCCACCAAAAGTGCTACGATATTTAGGACAGTAGTGAACAAAAGAAATCATTCGTTTGATTCTCCCACCCCCCCAAAAATGTCCCCCCCAGGAAACTAATAAAAATTTGTTCCGTAACCAAACAACTGGCCCAAAGAACTGCCCACCCCCAGCAGAAAATCGTTAACCCCCCCCGTAACATGATAATATCGCCCCTTCCGATTTTGACATTTCTATAAATTCTCAATTTAAGAAAATCATGACTAAACCATGGTTTTCAGTCCTAAAATGTTTAAGAAAATAACAATCACAAGTTTTGAAGAAAAAAGTGCATTTCTCGCTAATTATTTTTCACCAAACCCACAAGCCTTTCCAAAGTAAAATCCAATATTCACCCTCTGCTGTCCACACCACCAATAGCTGGTTTCCTCCCATTTTTATGTGCAACAAGCACAGCTCTGGTGTTGGTTACCAACTAAAAAGTTAATGTACTTATGCTATGTGCGTGCATTTGGATCTCATCACGGTGTGCGGGGCCAGGGACACGTGATATGGCATCGCTCCAAATGAACATGACTGGTGGAAATTCCGCTTCCTCCATTTGAACGTTTTTCTTTATTACAAGCCTTTATTCATTAAACTGTATCTTATATAACATAACATTAGTTATGCATACTTGTACACATGTACGCTTTACCTACGGTCGATTGGTGATACATACGTTGAGCAGGACAGCAGCTTTCGCATAAGACGAGGTCCAGATAATACAAGGTAATTTAGTAAGTCCCAGGGCCCTCGTATTAACAAAAGTCGACTGTATATGAATATTGATATTTCATTGGTAGCCAATCACAGCATAATGACTGGATGGTCCGCGGACGCTGTTTACACAAGAGGCTGGCTCCGCGCTGAATAATGCCCCCAAAGAATTGTATGCACTGTATGCATGATGTTTCGCATGTACGGTAGATTCAGTCGTGTGCACTACGGAGCTCCAGTACTGTTTGATGTCTGAAAGAGGGCATGCAAGGTTTGGCCTGGCCATCGCGTCATGTCGGTAGAAAAGAAAACAGAAAATCAACACTTGTGCAAGGAGGAAAAACAAGGAAAATCTGGCCTGTCGATGGAAAAAACAGAAAAGGTAATTTGGCATATTCAACGAAAAAGCAGAAATCTGTTAAAAAGCAGAAATTTCACACCCCTGAATAAATGAGCCCAGGGTAAAGTGACAAATCCATTTCCAACCTGCTTTGGGGAGGAGCCTCTTGACATCATGGATAAGTTGGGCAAAGAGGAAAAACCAAAACCTTTGAAATAAAAAACATACTTAAATGTCCATGTAAAAGGCACTCAATCTCTCACCAGGAGTTGCTTGTCTTTCTGTCGTATCATATCCTTCAGCTGGCTCAGCAGCTTGGCCTGTTCGTTCAGCTGGTCTTGGACATCTGAGGAACTAGCAAAACTGGCGTCAGCTGCAGAGGCGAAGCTGGCATCTCCTGATCCTGAGGCAACCGAGGTGTCCTTCAAAATAAAAGTTGCACTGTAAATAATTTCTATTTTATATGTATTTTATATTTCTCAGACTTAAAAGAGAGAAACACCTCCCTCGCATGACTTTGGCAACTTATTTTCAGAGTTACCCTTATCGCTGGTTTTTGGTTTTTAATTTTGCCATGCTGTTGAAATTTTAGGCATCACCATCAAAGACCTTTATGCTTTTAAAAGAATTCAGAAAGTTGGAACCAAGCCAACAAATAACAGTTGATGCACAAAGAGTATATACTACAGTGTAATAAGCCTTTTCGTGAGTTAAATGTGAACACACTCTGGTACACTGAGTTATCTGATTGCACATAAACATAAAAATTTGAATTCCCCAGACTAAAGACACTGTTGCAACTATTTCTGGAATGGACTGGTTCCTTTGTGCCCTTCTTATCCATTGAAAACAGTGTATCAGTGCAAGGGGTCTCTCACATAACTAAGCAAAAGTTTGCCCTGAATCACGAGGTATAGCAACGGCGTCTTCAGTACGGAGAATTCTAATTGTTATGTTCAAGTGAATTTATAGAACTCAGAGAACCAGATTTCATTTAAATCCAACTCTCAAAAGACCAGAGTTGGAAATTTGGAAGCCTGTTATTGTAGTGGCTCTACACTCCTGGGACCAATATCTTAGTGCTGCTTAAGCACAAAACTTGCTTAAACGGAAAAAACTTTGCTTAATAAACAAACGTTACCAGTTCAAACTCTATCCGATTGTCATGCTAACCCCAAAACAGCTAAATACAATCCCAGAACAATACACATCACATGGAGTTTTGGCTGGTTACTTGATTTATCAAGCAAGTTTTTTTCACGCTTAAGCAAATTTTGTGCTTAAGCAGCTCTATGAAATTGGCCCCTGGGTAGGTGGTACGCACACATTAAATGACTTTCCAACCAATAAGTTATTTTGATGTGCCACACACGTGTGTCAAAGACACGTGTAAATGCACTGTCACCACTATTACCGCATCCCCTCAGAATAATCACTATATATGTCCCAGTATCTCTCGCAAAAATGTCTGTATTGGGCTCATGGTTGACATCACTAAACTATGCATCTCTTGACCAGGTATGATGCTTTGAGGACAGCTGACAGCCAGTGTAATATATTCACAATACTGACAGGACTCCTTGATGTTTCAAATAATTTAAGAGAATGAAATTTTGACAAAGTACAAAGACAGGAGGGCTGCTCCTGCAACCCTCCCGGCTGTCATTTTGCTTGCATATGACTCATCAATAAAAATAGCGATAGTGATCTCAACGCTTCATGAAATGATATTTCTGTTAAGCTTTGGAATGCATTTTCAACTTGTTGACCTCGATGCTAGTCACGTTTGGCTTTTTTTGTAGGCACTGATTGATATGACCAAACAGAAAAGGCAAGATTTCCCTTGAGAAAGGCCTTCCTTACCCCTTCTGATGTCTCCTCCAGCACGGATTTGTTGACGTTCTCTACCACAGTGTCCAGTCTGTCCTGCACATTCTGTGCAATGTTGGTTAGTCGCCCCCACATGATGGCAACGTTTGTTGGGTCTTCACCTCACTGAGGGGTTAAGATCTACTGGAATGAAAGACAACATACAATGACCAGATAGAGAGTCGCACCGGGGGTCACAGACACGACAGACGGCAATGACAGGGATAAGAAGAATGAGACATTTGATCATTTCTTGAAGATTAAATCAATGGAGTGCAACCAATCAAATTTGGACTAATTAGGCTAAATGCCAATTGAAATTTGGACTGCACCGTGGAATTGGATTAACTCTGTACCCATCTCGAGATTGATGAACAAGTTCAAATAAGAGTGAGCACTTGCTGCAATCTTGCGTGATGTGGGTAAGCAAAAATATCATGAATTTCATTATTTTAATAAACTAGCCCTAAATGTTGATGTACCTTAAAATCACTTTTCGCCCTTAGTGCCTTATCACAACAATATTTTACCTCAAATTTTCATAAAAATACCTATATTTTGTGTCAAAATTCTTAATTGTGAGTACTGGCTCCGATGAAACTTTATTTTTTGATTTTCTGTTTTTTTTTCTGAAGTGCAAAATGAACTCTTTTAAAATGAGTCCAAAATACAAAAAAAAAAAATTAAACAAACTTATGATTAAGGTAACTAGGCCTATAGATAATAATAATTTCTTAGAATTTATTAACTTTAAATGATTTCTTTAATGATCATGTTGAGATTTTCTGAAATTTTTTCAAGTGCACCATGCTAGTGAACAATCAGCTGAATTCTTGCCAAATTTCTAGACGCCGCCGTCTTTAGAATCCGATGAAATTTCATGACACTAAAACTGTTCACTCAGGTTCAACAGTATTATGAAGCACATAGTGCCAGCATCTAACCAAATTTGACCTTTTTTCAACAAGAGGTGTGGCAACACTGTATGAGGAAAGTCAAGTGAACATTGAAGGTAAACAAACCTTCCCAAGCTCTACTGAGCGGAGTGTGTATTTACACTCCACTCAGTAAAGCTATCCTCCCCATTGCCCATATGACATCAAACTACATCCCAAACGTGCTGAATGGACTAGAGATAAAGGCATAGACATTTGTGAGGGCTAAGACATTTCATACGATAGAGATAGCAAAACTCCAGTTATGTGCTGTGTAACTTAGCTATCTGTAAAGTTAAAACTTTACAGTTCTGGAAGTAAAAGAAGACACGGTCACGATGGTGGGATTCTGTGTCATTTCATTCCATTTATTATTTTTCAGGGAATATAGGCCAGGGGTGTGAGTGGCCACTCAAAATTAATGCTGAAAACAGCTGGCAAAAAGCTGAAATGTAGTCCCCATACTTTAGTACACACCAGGTGTACAAAAGCTGATATTCGGGGTCAACATCGAAACAAAAAAAGCTGATTTCTCTCACCCCTGATAGTGATAGACACAGGGTACAAAGCCAAATAAACAACAAATTTAAACAACATAAAAGTAAACTCAATTGCTGTCAGTGTCGAGAGGGCCTCCTAAAATGTCAACAAATACAAGAATAAATCACATCCACTCACTGTAGAGAGATTTATACCTAGTATCTACTACCTCCCTTGCCAGTAGATTTAACAATGATTTGACTTTCCAGCCGATGTTTTCATCAGCATCAAGATTATCATTTAGTAGGCCTACTTGACAATTTGATGGCAAAAGTATGGTGGCCCTGGAAGTGCATTGCCAATCGTCAATATTGACGTCAATATTTGTGACCAAATTCACAACTCGCTCTCTGGTCGAGAAATATTGCCGTCAATATTCGCAACTGAAGAGCAAGTCGTGAATTTGGTCACAAATAATGACGTCAATATTCGCAACTGAAGAGCAAGTCGTGAATTTGGTCACAAATATTGACGTCAATATTGATGACTGGTGATATGCTAGACAAAAAGTCTCATTTGTGCACAGGGCGTCAGGGGCATCAAATGTTGTCCGTAGGCTGTAAACTACACAAATCATTTAAAATTACCTAGCGGTAGCTAACACCACAATGTCCCTCCTGAAAATAACTGGACCAGCTTGTTAATTTCTTTATAAACCAGGCCAACCATGGAGGTAGAATACATAGCCTATGGCCTGCCAGTAATGTCATGAATGTTAACGTTAACCAGTCCACGTAGGCCCGCTGTACAACTAGATTAGACTCGACTGTACTGCACTGTCTGACTGGACTGTGTGATGTCACATTTTAGTCTGGTCCTCGACACTGCGGAACCTTGCTGCAGAACGACTACCTATCTCTTTGCAAGAAAACGAGTCCGGAAACAGACATATATCTCCTAGAGGGCGCTCGTTGAAAAGACTGTTACTTTGCTTTGGACGCGTCATACGGTACCTGTACACCCTGGATAACACAAAAGTAGCACCGCCCCGCCACGTACCGGAACAAGAGTGGTAACAAGATGTTCTCAGGAAATTCAAGATTCTTCTCTTGTAACTTGCACCAGAGTTAGCCATCTCAATTTTCAAAATTCTTCATTCCCTAGACCTTGAAGTAATTGACAGTCTTTGAACCCACGTCTGAATGTAACCCCCTATCACTCCACCGCCTCTTTACAAAGTTGATATCAGGTGAAACCTGATTGTTCATGTGCTTTCATTTCCCCTAGGAAAAATGCGGGCCCCTTGGTAGCCCCTAAAAATTTCACCCTTCTTTTTAGTGTGATGAGCTACATCTCATTGTGGGATCTTTTATTGAAATGATAGAAGCGACCGCAGACAACAATAAATCCACTCAAAGCAAGCAAACGAACAAAAAGGAAAGATGCAACTTCTTGTGACGCACATTACAGTGGCGTATGTATAGCTTATTCCCTCCCACATCTTTCAGAAGTCCAGTATTTCAGTTCAGCTGTGCCTTTACCACAGAGGTGCACCCAACCGAGGGTTGTATATCTTCATATCTGTGATATACATGTAGCCGAATATTACATTACCCTGTACCTTAGCCGGCCTGGGTTGAGCATAAAGAGCTATTTTGGCGGGAAATTCGGAAATTCCGGTCCAAGCCCATCCGCTCCCCAGCCCCTGTGGTAAAATTTCTGAAGGAGGCAGCTTGAAGTTGAGGTGGACACCTTTTTTTAAGGCGATGACAAAGTAACAGTGGCTTGTGGCGCACATATTTCACATTTCAATCGTGGGAAGGAACAGGGGGCATGGGCTTCCTTTAGCGCACGTGCCCCATGTACACCCCTCTTCCAAATCATCACAGGGCTCTATCACCACTGCAGACGAACCACTACCATGGAAAGCTTTGAAGTCAGAAAAGACCCAAATAAATATAGCGCCCTCTGTCATGTCTGTAGTTTGCGTTAAACTATTGATCAGGCTAAAAGGAGGAGTATGTTTAATACCCACAGATCATACATATATATAGAGTTGGTTATCATTATTATCCAACTGTATGCCACAGACAAATAAACACATAATAGACCGCCAGGTCCTATTCAAAACTAAAGGGGTTTTTCGTGATCTCCGCGGCGCCCGACTAAATCAAAACCATGGGCAAACTCCAGCAAAAAAAGTTTATGCATTTTTCGATTGTAAGAAATCCTCTATTTACTTAATCTGGCCATAGGCCTTATGGATTCGAAACAATGCGGTTGCAACATCTGAAAAGAAGAGTTAGCCGTACCAAAAGGCAAAAAAGTGAACGTATTTTTGGAGCACATGCAAACAAATACAGGCAATGTAAGACCGTTGCGTGTAATGCGCATTGGACGCGTTGCCATCCGTCGCTTCGCCCATTGTTTGGCCATACTTTTCAAAATCACGGTTTTACGCGCAAGACCAGCGGTCTGTGCGTTTATGTTTCTGTGGATACACCCCATCCCAGTCATGCCACTGCAATCCTGCAGTTAATCTAATGACATGCAGTAAGGAGATATTTTTATCTAAAGACAATCCCCTTACAGTCCGAATGTTTGTCTTGAAGTACGAGACCACCATTGCCAAACAAAACACTTTTCTCTGTTTAATTAAAATTTCGCCGAACACAAGCGGAGAATCTTTCAGTTTTCCACCTTCCTTAATGCAAAACACTGAATTCACAGGTTACAAAAACCATTCGTGATTTGGTCCGCGTGTAGGATCGATAATGGACTTTCCGCTCCGAGTTGAAGTGCACCCCCAAGCGGCAAAACAAAGACAGCTGGTTGTAAGTTTTCCAAGCGGGTTCTTACATGCGTTCTGCGAGTAGGCCTACGCAAAAGAGACCGTACATTTTATTGAATAAAATTCGTTACGCGTACTCAGCGTTCTCCGTGTCAAACGCGCAATTGATATCCGTTATAAACGCGCGCCTGTGCGGTAAATAAAAAAAACACCCCCACGAAGTAACTAATCAAAATTATGTTAGTGAAATTTTTAAGATTAAGACCTACCCTAGTACCGAAACGTATTTCCACGTACCTCCTTGAAAGAAATATTTTCGCTGTGGCGGCGGTCGATTGAATAAGAGCTGGACTGCTTCGTAAGAGCGCGCCAAAGCGTGCGTCCGCGCCCAACTAAATAACAATGAAATTCTTTGTTTTGGTTTGGAATCATTCCGTCGTATTCCTTGAACGGCACACGTCCGGG